TTTTTTTTTTTTTTTTTTTTTTTTTTTTTTTTTTTTTTTTTATATATATTTTAAATATCATGTATATTTTATTGAGATTCAGTTCTTCCAAGTAGAAAGAGAGAGAGAATTAATTTTTTTAAATAAAATCCTTTTTTTTTTGGATCCAGGCAACTGAAAGCCCTTAGGCCCAATGGGCTACTCTTTCATTTCCATTGGGCTCTTCATGTCAGGCCCATTTGATTTTGGTCAACTTTGACTTTATATTCTTCTTAAAGCTTGAATGAGAAGTTTTTAGTTTTAGGATTTTGTCTTTTAATACACTTCTAATTAATTTTAAAGTGTAATAAAATATTAACTTTCAATTTTTTTTTTTGTCCAATAAATCGTCCAATTATTATTATTATTTTTTTTTATATAAAATTTACGGACCATTTAACATAAAATTTAAGTTTACATCTATTATTAGACATAAAATTAAAATTAAAAGTTCATTAAATTCACATTTTAAGAATTTATTAGGACAGATAAATTTATTTTTTCTTAATATTGCTTCTCTCAGTCAATCTAATTTTTATGAGTTTTTTTGTTTTTTGTTTTTATGTCAATTTAATGATATATATATATATTTCTCCCTAACTAATATTATATACGGTTGTTGTTGTTACTCTCTTCTCTTACTTGTTTATATAACGTATCTTTTAAAAATCTCTCTTTGTCCTCGTTTTCTAAAACCTTCTCTTAAACTGAGGCCAAAGCCTCGAGCATGCATCGCTTGGTCGTTCCTCGTTTTCTAAAACCTTCTCTTAAACTGAGGCTAGAGCCCCGAGCATGCATCGCTTGGTCGTAGGCTATGTAAGAACGAATTGGCTTAGCTCACTTGTTGTTGAGAAGTGAGTGCCGCACAATCGCAAATACGCTACCTTGTGACAAATGGTATGTATATATATATTATTTCCCAATTTCTCATCTTCAACCCATGCAATAGAGTCCAAATTCCAAGTCAAATATAACCTAATCAAATTCTTCATATTTTATTTTCTAATAAAAAAACAAAACAAAAAAAAAATTGAAAGACTATTGACAAATTAAATATGAATAATCAAAACTTAGCTTTCAACCGTCGCAATTTAAATTAAATCTTTTTTCTTCTCCTTTTAAATGATCTTAGTTGCGGTTCAAACTAAAATCTGCACTTTATTTTTATTCATTTTATTTATTTGAGATCAATAAATAAGGTCCACGTCTTTTTTAAAAAAAACACAGCTTTTCATTATTTTCAAATAATTTCTTTTTGGGTTTTACATTGAAATTTGAGTTTTGACTTTAATTTTGTTGTTTTGTAAAATTGTAAACTATTATTTAAAAATAAATTTTCAAATATAGTTAAATGATTAAAATCACAAATATAAATAACTATCCCATGAATTGTTGCTTGAGCGAAAATTGGAACTCGAACATGAACACTATCAAAGGATTCAAAGGTAAGTTGGAATATATTTTAAACATAGAACAAAGTTGGGAGGGACATAGCCTATTTTAAAATACAGGTCTGTTCTTGATGCACATGATAGAAGCATCACTAAATTTCAATTTCAATAACCGACAGAATCACATACTTTTTGTTAGTTAATCAATTAAAATAGTGATTGAAAAATGAATAGGATTCAATTGACTTTTAACATCCATGAATAATGCACAATACAATAATCTGTATCAATTTCAGATGAGGAAGAAATGACAATGGCGGAGTAGGGTGGGCCGTTCAATCAATGATCACAGTCTCTTGCCGTCCTAAGCGTAGGCACGCATTTCCATATCAGTCTTTATTGCGCTTCAATTATGTGGTCCGTTTCCCGTCGAGATTTGTTTTTCCCCAGCGACTCAAAACTGATTTGATTCCTTTTTCATGTAGTTTTCAATCAAATCAATCTATTTCAAAGAGTTGAAACTAATCGCAAACAGAGAAGACGTCTGCCGCGTGATTTCGAATTCGAAAACGAAGATCGAGAAAAATCGAAGAAAGAAACTCAGAAACTCAGAAATTCGTAATTTCATCGATTCGTAATTAGTTACAAGTTTAGTTTCGGAGCTATTAATCCGAAACGGTTCCATTTCTGAATCTATGAGAGAAACACAGAATCGGTAGCTACACGATCAAACCAAAACTAAATCATCACAAACAAGAACATTCCGCGATTGCAACTACGCGAAGATCACAGAGAAAAATAGCGAGAGAGCATAAAAAAACCTGTGTCGTTAAGAAACAGAGATGATAATCAGGACTAAGAAACAGTGCGCTTGCCAGGACGATCGGCGACCTTCATAGTTTTATCGATCAACAATCGAGCTTTTCGGCTACGGATCTCAACCTTGACGCTGGAGCTTTTGTCCATCTTTATATACGGCTTCTTCGACTTCTTCAGCGCCTTCACCTTCGATTTTATGGATTCCACTAAACTGCCGAACTGATTCGCCATTGAAGCCACTCAAAACGGAGGACTCGAAGCAGAAATTTGATAGAATTAGGGTTCGGAAGAGAGAAAGAGAAGGAGATGGAATTCAGTTGAGGGAGATGTGAGATTCAGAGGTTTCCAACTCTGATTTCAGTGGCAAAGAAGTTCCATATATAGAAGAAGCACGCATGCCGTGTGGCATATTATGAACGTAAACAAGTGACCTCATTTTTCTTCCGAATTACAATTTTGCCACTCTTTTAACCTCGCTCCTGGTTTCCTAATTTATTGGAAACGTTGAATTTGGAACCAACGTGGATCATGTTAATTCTTATCAAATTATAACAAACCTTTGGAGAATTTGGAAAGTCAATTACTAATTCATTTCATCTAAACCCTAAACTTTAATTTTGTCTTAAATAAATATTACCCCATTAAATATTAAATATAAAATAATATATAAAAATTCAGACTACGAAGATTACAGTATAATTTAATTTAATATATATAATTTATTAAATTAAACGTGTGAATTAGTAGTGTGAAATGGAAAATAAGGTTTAAGAGGTGTCAATTAAAATTTCCCTATTTTCATGACATATTATACGATGTCACAACTCATGATATGTTTGTTTATGAAATATATATATTTATTATAATTTTTTAAATGATTTTTAAATAAAAATAATATTGAAAATTAAAATTAAAAAAATTATTTTTAAATGAATAATAAACAGGAAATGAAATAGGTGGCACGATTCAGACGAAGCTTTCCGTCACCACCTTTTCCTGTGGAACTCTAATCATAACATATATGGATTAAAAAATTAAAATTTTAATCATTATATATATATAAATAAATAAATAAAAGAACTATATATATATATATTTATTGTATATGCATATGTGTTTATGGTGGAATAAATAAATAAATAAAAGAACAAAAGTTGTTCAACTTAAATAAAATAAAATAATAATAATAAATAATAAAAATAATTCCGACGTAATGGACAAAGGACGTTACAAAATGAAATCAAATATTTAAAGCAAGAAGACTTTAACTTCAAATTTAATGTGCTTGACTATTTAAAACAAATCGATAAAACCCTAAGCCCTTTGTTCACCTTTCACACTCAAACTAATTGTTATGATCAGATTAAATTTCATTTCATAAACGCTATTTATTGACAACATTCCATAAGAATTAATTATAAATTTCTCTTAAATCATATTACCAAAATTCTCTTAGCCATAATTACAAACACCTTGCATGCATTCAAATTCAGGCTCTATCCCTCATTCCTATTTTGCAGATCTTATCCCGAATCATCCCTTTCAAATCAACCGTTTCTCTTATCTCTCTGACTACCTCAACGTCGACGCTGCATCACTGCAGTCGACTACCGAGACAGTGGGCTATTGCGCCGGAGTATCAAAAGAAACAGAGGTCGCCGAGTTCTCATGGATGTGAGATGCTTCTGAGCTTGCTTCTAATTTAATGATATCTATTAAATAAGGTTCGAATCTGATCGAATGGTCAAAATCAAAACTAATGATCAACGACAAAAATTAAAAAACTTTTTATGAGATATCTTTTTATATTCTAACTGACAAATAAGAAATAACAAAAGAAAACAATTTTTTGAAAAAAGAAAAAAAGAGAACAGCTTTTAAATGCAACAACTTCCAAACTACCTATTTATTTCTTACACCGAAAAGAGGTAAACAGAAGAACAAAGGGAGTTACCCTCTGGTTCACGAGCGATATAAATCTGATTATACGATCGAATATTAATGTCCTCTCGACATACCGAAAAATTTTCAATCCATAATACGTAATGTGAATACTTAGAAATGATTACCTTAGGCTAATCAAATCATGATACATAATTATGATATCGTGACCCGAAGAAACTTAGTAAATCTAGTTTCTTTAACCTGGATTATATAAAAGTTAACAATTAGTCACTAATTAAACATAATTACACTAATATAATTTCCCAAACTTACAGAAGAATCTCTTCCTTTTGTCACTAATTCTATTTAAATAATCTCATGGCTTCCTCTGGCTATCTGTGTAGATATAATCAGCATGGGCTGCAAGAGTTTTCCTCATCAAGCAATATTCTTCTCCAATTTCTTCACAACTCTCCTCCTCCAAAGCATCATCCCCAGCCTTCAACTTCCCAAAAAGAAGGAAAAAAAGCACACAATATTCACTACAATTTTCTTTCTTTATAGAAAGACATATTAACAAGAGCAATTGCTGATAAATTTACGTACCCCGTCTCGAGAAGTCCCGGGAAAAGCATTTGAAAAGCCTGGAACAGGCACAGGCCGAGCGCCGATGGTGGTTGCCGAGGAGACAAAGGAGAAGAAAAGGAAGAGGAATGTGAAGATGGAGGTTAAGAGTTTGGAAGCCATATGAGAGAGATGGGGAAGAGGAAGGACTGTGGAAATGAATATAAAGGGATTGTGGAAGGGCAAAATTGGAACTTCAAGCCAAAAGTAACCAGCATGGATTTTGTACTCATGAGTTTTTTCCCCTCATAAAAAAAGTTATTATCATTGAATATCTATGCTTAAAGTTAAATATAAACCTGTCGAAAGAAATAATTAGGAAAGGTTTAAAAGAATGCGTTTATGACTATTCTCGTGACTATGTGTCGGACCATGCTTGGTTGTCCTATTCCATTGGGACGATTTAGATTTTTCAGGAACATATAGAATAAATTAATTTTTAAAAATAATTTATCAAGTACACAGAGAAGATTAGCAGGATTTCTATGCAAGGACAACATATACAAATCGAGAAATTATCTGAATCCTAAACCTGAGGCATTATAAAAAGTATCTACTTGATTAGAGTTAGAGCGGGACCTCAAAGCTTAAGAGTGTAAAGAATATAATGAAATGATTCATAAGGACATTACTTGGATCCCATGTTATCAAAGTAATGTGTGCTCGAAATATATTGAAGAATTAATAGTTCTAATCTATTAGCTCAAATGTTTTTGGACCTTTTATGACGAACAAACCATAAGTTAACTGAATAAATTATTCATACTCCTCAAACGGTTGAAGATTCAAATCTCTAGCTCTCGTCGCGATGTGTTTCCTTTTGTGGTGGGGAGTTGGGTTGGAAAGGGAATCCTAGCATAACAAGTTGCATCAAATGTAGGAAACAAAACTAAGAAAGCACAATGATAATGATTACAAATAAGCATGCCTCTCTTATAGGCATCCAAAAGTTGCAAACCATAGTGGTGTTTCAATGATTCTTATGTGGGTAGGTCCTCTAAAAATGATTTGGATTTCCCTAATAATCATTTCTCTTCTTGAGGATGTAGTGGAGGAGGTCAAGAACATAGCCACCACTTACTATTATAATCATACCAACCTTGCAAGTTTCTTTATCATCCCGAATTCATTAGAGATAAAGAAATCCAAACATTCTGTCTTTAAGAAGATAAGTAATGTCTTGATTCGGTAAGCTCTGTGGCATCAACAAAACCTTACAATCTAAATCACCCAGAAATAGTTTTATTCAAACCACCAAATCTAGTTGACTTAGTGTTCTTCCATATCCTAATTAAAAATAACTCGATTTTAGACTAGTTCTTGTAGATATTTCTCGCACAACTATGATGACTTGCACAATAGAAACCAAGGCGTGCATTTGGCCTTTGTAAACCAACTTTGTAAACTATTCTATTCAATAGCCAGGTCAAGATTTCAAGAATTGAAGTTTTCATAATAAATGTGTGTGGGAGAGAGCTATGGACCATTACATTGTTTGAATGACATAATAAAATCTTGTGGGAAAGGAGGAGAGAGAGAAAAAGTAGAAGCAATAAGAGGCACTTAAGAGGGAGATACGAAAGGATCATATGTGGTCAACTCTCTATGATATCTGCCTCTTTGCCAATGTGCAAAAGTCAGCCGTTCATATTAAATCTTCACGGGCTTCTCTACTCATTTCCCACAGTTGCAAATACAGTTAGATCTCTACAGTGTCTATACCACATAAGATTTTGTGGCTGATATCTCTAAAAGATCTAAAAGTTTGCATTTCTGGTAATGAGTAAAGCTCAAATTTGTTCTGTTTTTGGAAAAAGCACATACGGGTAGACATGCCTCCATACTGTTTTGGGAAAGGATACACCAACTTGGAGAGAGAGTGTAATGGCCTAGGCCCACCGCTAGCACATATTGTCTTCTTTGGGCTTTCTCTTTTGGGTTTCGCCTCAAGGTTTTAAAACTCATTTGCTAGAGAAAGGTTTCGACACCCTTATAAAGGGTGTTTCGTTCTCCTCCCCAACCAATGTGGGATTGTGGGATCTCAAACAGCCATGTAGGGTAGATGCCTCCGGAGCACTATCATGAGAGTTAATGGCCCTGGTAAAGAGAAGGGGTTTGGGTACGGCTGAATGATTAAGGCTTTTGAGAAAGGATTTGGCAGAGGAAAAAAAAAAAACCTCGTTGGCCTCATGAGGCCAAACCCGAATGGCTAGTCGGAAGTCTAAAGGAATATTTGATAATAGGAGTCTTAATTCAGCTAATTTAGATACTTCATAGAACCATGAATTAAGGCTCGGTGATTCAATATATTCTTTCATGGGCCGTAAGAAGTGTGTAGAGAGATACTTCCAGGGAGGTTATTAAGGGGCTTTGAGCCATTTTGCATCAATAGCTAATCGCCAAAGAGCCCTTTTCTCCTTTTGGTAGCGTCACATCCACTTGGTTAAGAGTGCATGGTTTTTGTCTTTAATGCTATAGAGGCCCAATCCACTTTTTTCAATGGGAAGGAGAACTTTATCCCGTTTGACAAGATGCTTGCAGATATCATAGGTATTCCCTGCTCAATGGATGTAACAGCCCAAGCTCAAGCCCAAGTCGAAGCTCACCTCTAACATGTGTCCAAGTCCAAGCTCACCTCTAACATGTGTCGTTTATTTTGGGCTTCCTCTCAAGGTTTTAAAACTCGTCTACTAGGGATAGGTTTCAACACCCTTATAAGGAATGCTTCGTTTCGTTCTCCCCTCCAACCGATGTGAGACCTCACAGCCCACCCCCCTTGGGGACCCAGTGTCCTCGCTAGCACATTGCGTGTCTAGCTCTGAAACCATTGTTTAAGTCCATCGCTAGCAAATATTGTCCTCTTTGGACTTTCCCTTCTAAGCTTCCCCTCAAGGTTTTAAAACGCATATACTAAGGAGAAGTTTCCACACCCTTATAAACAATGTTTCGTTTCCCTTTCCAACCGACGTGGGACCTCGCAATGGAAGTTCTGGAAATGTCTTTCAATCATCTCAGCACCCTTTGTCGGCATTTGAAGGCGTAACTAGGATAGGAAGGTTGGATAGTGTTGCTTGGAGATGAGATAATCTTCCACCTCCAGATATATGAGAATTTTCCAGTCATTCTGTTTTTTGTTCCTTCTAAATACCAACAATTGGGGCCCAAAAGGAGAGGTTTTTGGGGTTGCCATTTCAAGTAACACCTTGTAAGTGTTTGACCACCCCCTCCCCCTTAGTTTTCAGAAACTAACACACAATATATACGATAAACTCAATGGCATTGTGCATAAACTAAAAGATTCTAATAGAAAGTACCTGACTACCTTTTCCTCCTTTCGCTTAGTTTCGGTTTCTTATGTGCGTTCTTTCAGTTGTGCAATGTACTCCTCAAATATTTCCCTACAAAATTAAATTCAAACACAATTCGAGTAAAATAAAGGGTCAGGACAGTTTGTAAAGGCAAAGATCCCTCTTATTAATACTAACTGAGACAAAAGAATCGAATGGTGATCTGCAGGCACAAAGTATTTCTTCCAACTCTAGAATAGAGAAGAAATGAATCATGGCAAACGTAAAACTAGAGCAAAAAAGTTAACGCCGTCATTTCGACACTACTTACAATTGCAGAAACCATCGAGTCTTGTCCAGGGAACACCTTGGCCAAGAGGCTGAAAATGCGGAGAAGGAAGTCTAACAATCGAAGCCCACTACTAGTAATATTGTCCTCTATGGCCCATTACGTATAGCCATCCGCATCATTGTTTTAAAACGCGTCTACCAGGGAGAGGTTTCCACACCTTTATAAAGAATGTTTCGTTCTCCTCCCCAACCAAAATGGGATCTCACGATCCACCCCCTTGGGGACCCAAGGTTCATGTTGGCACACCATCCGATGTCTGACTCGGATACTATTTGTAACAGCCAAAGTCTACCGCTAGCAGATATTGTGCACTAATCAATCAAAAAAGGATCCAATCCAAAAGAACAAAACGTAATGGATAATTGCACAACACCCTGGAGAGTGAAGTCCACATAGAGGCATTGAATCTAGCAAGAGACTAAACCTCTCACAAAGACCTTCCAAGCATCCATGAATACATGATTTAAGGGTATCACGATTTCGATAAGAGAAGAACCCAAGCCCTTGGAAGGTATCGTCCAAGAGACATGCCTACGAGTACATACCACCGCCAAGGCACCCTTGGTTGTTACAATATAGAATCAGATACCCCAAAAATTCCGAAACCTCTTCCCTGCTCCAATATGAAACAGTTTCGCTACCGATTATACCAATATTTCCTAATGCGCGCCCAGAAGTGCCAAGAAGGAAAACCCGTGGAAACAAACAGCAATCAAGCAATCCACGTAGGGGGAAAAATGAACAATCAATTAGACAGTAATGCAGCAATACCAGGAGGAGACCAGGATTAAAGTAGCGCCGTAGAAGTGAACAACCAATTGATGAATAGGGTTTAACAACCAAAAACAGAATTAAAAAAAAAAAAAAAAATACCCGGGCGAAGAAAGTACGAATGGAGAATGATACAGCGCCGTGAATCAGGATTGAAGGAAGTGCGCGAATAAATTGGAGATTTAAACCTCCGGGCAGAGAATTTGGTGCCATGGGCGAAGTTTCCTAGAGTGATGTGCTCGTAGAGCTGCCCAGCGGCTGGGCTGCCATGGAATTGGAAGCTCTAGGCGCGCGCTCTTATACACGGTCTTTCTATTTTTAGAATGAACCTACCATTTCGAGGTGAGATACAAAACGTGACTAAACTCTCAATTGACACTCGTTTGGATACCTCTAGATAGTAACATGATGTGATGGAAGAAAATGTTACATCATCCCCATCCCCACACCAAGAAAAATGTATATTAAAATCAATTTAAAACATAAGCAATGTTAGAGAGAACACGGTGACATAAGTGTAAAAAACAAGTTTGAGGAAGGTCGAGTAAAACCCTGGTCCATATTCTCAAAAGTTTGAGTTTCGATATGAGTTTTGACATACGACTCTAGAGTTATCTATCTATATGAAAAAACTGAAATTTCGCTAAATTTGGTATCAATCGAACACTCAACCACGCTCCATAAGAGTATATGACCGCTTGCCAAAATCATATCTACCCCATAATGATCAGAAATGCCTAAAAATGTATTATACGAGGAAGCATAATGTCAGCTCTCTACCATTTTTAGATCTTGTGACCTAAACGTGTCATAGTGAGGGCGAGGAGTATCTCAAGCGACTTTATTTGAAATGAGTTTTTCAAAAATAGTATTGGACGACACGGGGTGCATCGACATTGCACCTCTGCCCATGTGTCGAAGGTTGACGTGTGTGGCTAGTGTAGAGACAAGTCGACTAGAGTAGCAAATGCTTGATTATGCTTCAAAATAACAATTTTTATAAATATACGTTTTAAATTAAAAAAAAAAAAAATTGCTAAAATGGCAACTTCAAATTTCCTTGAATTATGGAAATAAAAATGGGAGAGAAAAAGTAATAAATACCCTAAAATAAATCGGAGAAAAACATATTTCCAACACGAGCGTCCTTAAATTCCTCGAAACAAACGGTCGCAAGGGGAAAAAAAGACCCTAAAATAAAGGGGAAATAAAATTAATTAAAAAATAAAATGGAAATATCGCAAATTACACCGTCTTAGAGGCTCCGCAGAATTTATATCCCCCACCCAAATCGACGGGCGGCTTCATTTCTTCCTTCGCAAGTTCGAACCCTAATTGTCAAAATCTGAGGTGAAAGGGCCAAATTCAACCATGAAATTGAGGCTGAGATCCGTGGAGTCCAAGGAGACTCTCAGAATTGAAGTTCCCGATCAATCTACCATCGAGCACCTGAAACAGACGCTCCTCCAGGCACTGTCTTCTTCCTTTTCCGCTGATTCTCTTCACCTCTCTCTCAATCGGAAGGACGAGCTTCAAGGATCGTCGCCGGAGGATTCGCTGCACTCCACTGGTATCACTTCAGGTGACCTTGTTTTCTTCACTTTTAAACCTTCCGGGTTTTCTTCTCGAGGAGGTACGTCGATTCAAGCTTCTTCACAAGATTCGTCTTCGTCGCGACCAGGAAAGGAAATTCAAGGCATCGATTGTGATATTAAAAAACCTAGGTTGGAGAATTCGATGCCTGAATCCATAGAATCCAAGTCCTTGGATGCAGAAATGACTACAGGCGGCATGGTCGAGGACGGGGAGAAATTTTTGGAGTCGGATTGTGAAGAAATGGACGTTGAGGAAGATCCAATCGTTGATGTGGTGAAGAAATGTTCGAGGCCGATCTTTTTGAGGAGAGTGCTGAAGGAGGAGCTAGGTTATGATCGTAATGCTCACAAGCTTTTGGTAACTGCCGTTCACGCAGTACTTCTGGAGTCTGGATTTGTGCTGATTGATCCTAATTTAGGTTCTGAGGATAATCCTTTCCGTATGCCGGAAGATTGGCCTTCCCCATCGTTTACGATGTCGCTTTGGTACACCCTACCTAAACTTTTGGCCAAGGAGGACAAGAGTTCTACCATGACTGAAGTAGTTTTATTGAAGTTTCAGAGTTTGGGGCACTTTGTTAATGTTTATGGGTCTCTTAACTGCAGTAGAGGATCTAGTGTTTATCGTATATCTTTGGATGAGAGAAAATTTGCACCAAATCTTGATCTGATTTGGGTGGATTCAGTATCCAGCTACATAATGGATGAAAAAGAAGGGGACCCAGATAAACAAGTTTTTGAACTCTGGAAGCTAGTGAAGGATGCTCTTGCATTGCCACTCTTGATTGATCTCTGTGAAAAAACTGGTTTACCAACTCCTGCAAGCTTTATGCTACTCCCAGCTGATCTGAAGATGAAGATCTTAGAGGCTCTTCCTGGTGTTGATATTGCAAGAGTTGAATGTGTGTGTACTGAATTGCTTTACTTGGCCTCCAGCAATGAGCTGTGGAAGATGAAGTTCACTGAAGAGTTTGGTTCCGAGGACAGTGTTTCAGGAAAAAGGCTATGGAAGTCACAATTTGTTGCACGTTACGAAAACGAAAAGTTGAGAAGCAGGAGAACTAACCATGTGAGGGATTTTCTTAGTTTAGGGTGGCCGGTGCGTCGACCCCCTTATCCGTTCCCAGCTCCTCATGTTATTGGGGGAGATTATGATATTGTGCCTAGTATCAGGCTCCCTACACATGGAATTCCTGGACAATCGTTACGGTGGACGCCGAGGCGTCGACAAGTTTTCATTCCACATTACGATTTGATAGGACGATGAGGACTGAATCTGAGCTCCATCTATAGGCAGTTTTTATTATAGTTTTGTGTGCTTCGTTATGTAAAGGAATAAGGTGTGGGAAATCTTGCCAGAATGGAGATATCAGGTTAGGCCATGGATCTTTGTAAATATTGCTTGCCTCAAAGCTCTTCTTGTTGCTTGAATAGAGATATTTCTTTATGAAGTTTGCTTCCTCAACTGTAGACTGGAATATTATCAGTTCTTTTGTTTAAGCAGAAAAGTTCTATAATTGTTGATTGTGTTTCGGTTGAAGGATTTTGATTAGTTGGGATCAAATATAAAGTGGAATATTGTGTAGTTTTTGCTTATAACTGATAACATGTTGCTGGGATTATTATGTTCAAATTATTAATAATTATTATATGCAAAAAGTTAAATTATAATTTTAGTCTCACTTCTTCCATGGTACTTTTTGTAACATGTCACAATTTGTAGCTGGTAGTCTCTGTGTCATTTGTTTGAGTTAATGAGTTAATTAAAAGAACGAAAAAAAATATGCAACCGCTTTTATATATCTATGACATTTAACTAATGTTTTGTGGGTTAACGTTGTGGTTAAAGGATGAGTAATTTTGTTTAAAAAGACGTTTAACTAATGTTTTGTGGGTTACATTGTGGTTAAAAGTTCGAGTAATTTTGTTTAAAAAGACGTTTAACTAATGTTTTGTGGGTTACATTGTGGTTAAAGGTTCGAGTAATTTTGTTTAAAAAGTAGGTTTTAAAAAAATCAATTATATATCTACGCCGCCCCCCGACATTTCATTAATGTTTTGTGGGTGGGTTAACGTTGTGGTTCGACATTTCATTAATGTTTTGTGGGTGGGTCAACGTTGTGGTTAAAGGTTGAGAAAGACGTTTAACTAATGTTTTGTGGGTTACATTATGGTTAAAAGTTCGAGTAATTTTGTTTAAAAATTAGGTTTTAAAAAGATCATTAATGTTTATGTTTTGTGGGTTAACATTATGGTTAAAGGTCGGAGTAATTTTGTTTAAAAAGTAGGTTTTAATTTTTGTATCAAATAGGTTAATGAACTTAACAAAAAAAAAACTAAATTTTTAATTTTGTGTATAATAAATCTAAAAATTTTTAATTTTATGTATAATAAATCTAAAGAATTTTTAATTTTGTATTTAACATTTTTTTTGGTACCTTTTTAAAAGTTTTTACAAACATGAAATTAAAATAAAAGTTTATTGTTCTTGCGTTTAGATACAAGATTAAAATGCCGAGGAAATTCTTCATCATATAATAAACTTTTTTCATTAAATTTATTTTTTCATGCATAAAGAAAAACATTTTTCATTGAAATTTATTTGTAATTATCCTAAAAGATGAATTAATTAATTCCTACAACTATAAGGTGGGCGGAGATCAATTATTATTTAAAGTTTTGACATATTTAAAAAAAGANTCGTGTCCTTTATCGAATTTTCCCTCGCGTCTTCTCCACGTCATCCATCGGGACATGTGCTATGCAAAAGTGTGCATGTGTTGTGTTAGATTATTGTTATTATTTTTATGGAAAATATTGTACAATTTTCAAAATTGTTTACTCATGAGTTGACTCAAGATGAAAAAAACAAAAAACAAAAAACTTTTTATTCATTTAAATTTCACAATAATTTAATATTTTATCGTAAACAAAAAAAAAAAAAAAAAAAAAAAAAAAAAAAAAAAAAAAAAAAAAAAAAAAAAAAAAAAAAAAAAAAAAAAAAAAAAAAAAAAAAACCACAAATTGGAAAGATGAAAAATTAAACTTAAAATTTAACCAAAATGAGGGGGAAAATGTCGACAAGAGTACAAAGTGCCAACCGGATCCAAGCCCAAAGCCCAAAGCCCAAAGCCCAGCCCACGATTTCAGCCCATTACCCGCCAATATCTCGGATTCAAATTTGAAAAATGAAACCGACGAGAAAAAAGCGAATCCCTAACCATGGTTAACTCTCAACCAACCAGAGTAAACCAATTCTGGCTTAGCTGCCGTTCAATTTTCCACCAACGGTTAAAAAGAGACCACTACTTACGCTCGCTTCGTCTCCCACTATAAATACATCTCTTCCATCTCCTCCCTAAATCTATCCATCCAAAAAAAGGGTTTCAAAGGGGAAGGCGTCTTTACAAACGTCTTTCTTCCTCGCGAGAGTTTTTTTTCTCCATTTCCTGCTCAGATCTCTTCTTCGTTCTTCCATTTCTAAGCCAAAATGAGAGAGTGCATCTCAATCCACATCGGTCAGGCCGGTATCCAGGTTGGCAATGCCTGCTGGGAGCTCTACTGCCTCGAGCATGGTATTCAGGTATTCTACTGTTCCTTTCTTTTTTTGTTTTTTGCTTTCGTTCGCTCGATCTGTATGGAATTATCTACATTTCTGCATATAGCGCTTGATCTTGTTAGATTTCGAAGAGTTTTGTTGTTTTCATCTTATATCCACTCGATCTGCAAGGAATTGTGACATTTCTTTATCTATCATTGATGTAGCTCGAGTTTTGTTGTTTTTAGTTCGTTTTTTCTAAAGATATTTGTTGTTTTCCTTTTGTTCACTCGATCTGTAACGAATTGTCGGCATTTCTTCATCTAGCATTGTTATGGACTACGCTTTGGTGTTTTGTTAGATTCACGAGTCTTTTTTTCGCTCGCATCCAGTCGTTCATGTGGATCTATACTGTTTGTTTGATTTACTCCGTGTTTTTCCCAAAGCACGATGTGTACTTGAGATCTTTCGCTGTGTTTACGGATCTTCGTTAATGTGTTTTGGTATTCGTAAGTTCGCTAAACCTGCGTTGAATACCATCGCTACTCCCTTTCGTTTAACATAAGTGTAACATGTGCTGATTTATACATCGGGATCTTGAAATAGAAAATGATTCTTGCCGAATCTGTGAACCTTTTTTTTTTTTTTTTTTTTTTTTTCCATTTTCCATTGAATCAACGCTGTTTGAATTTCATATAAGCTGGCTTCGGATATTTGATTTTGTAATATGCGAAGAGAATTTGGTGGTTATTTCGCTGTGTTTACGGATCTTCGTTAATCTGTGTTTTGGTATTCGTAAGTTTGCTAAATCTGCGTTGAATACCATCGTTATTCCCTGCCGTTTAACAGAAGTGTAACATTTGCTGATGTATATACATCGGGATCTTGAAATAGAAAATGATTCTTGCCGATTTTTGTGTAAGATATATATATATATATATTTTTTTTTTCATTTTCCATTGCATCAACACTGTCTGAATTTCTTATAAGCTGGCTTCGTATCTTTGATTTTGTAATATGCTAAGATAATTTATTGCTTATTTTAGTCGTTGTTTATTCGGATCTCTGTTATATTAGTCTTCTTGTTGTTACGTATAAAATCCGAAGTTTAAGAAGCGCTTTCGTACGTCACGATAAACAGAATTCTCTAATTCTTGTCTGTAAAATCTGTACAGCCCGATGGCCAAATGCCAGGCGACACTACTCACGGTGGAGGGGACGATGCTTTCAACACCTTTTTCAGTGAAACAGGTGCAGGGAAGCACGTTCCTCGTGCGGTTTTTGTTGATCTTGAACCTACTGTTATTGATGAGGTGAGGACTGGAACTTACCGCCAACTCTTCCATCCTGAACAGCTGATTAGCGGCAAGGAAGATGCCGCCAATAATTTTGCCCGTGGTCACTACACCGGTAATTTCTCGATCTTGACGTCAATGGATATATATTCAATGTCTTCGTATTCACCTATTCCTTTATCTCTCTTCAGTCGGAAAGGAAATTGTTGATCTCTGCTTGGACCGAATCCGAAAGTTGGCTGACAACTGCACCGGTCTTCAAGGATTCCTTGTGTTCAACGCTGTTGGTGGTGGTACTGGCTCTGGTCTTGGCTCCCTCCTTTTGGAGCGTTTATCGGTTGACTATGGAAAGAAATCCAAGCTTGGGTTCACTGTTTACCCCTCTCCACAAGTCTCAACTTCTGTTGTTGAGCCATACAACAGTGTCCTCTCAACCCATTCTCTCCTGGAACATACTGATGTTGCCGTTCTCCTTGACAACGAGGCCATTTATGATATCTGCAGGCGCTCCCTTGACATCGAGCGTCCCAACTACTCTAACCTCAATCGTCTAGTCTCCCAGGTAATTAGTTTAAGAATTTTTGGATCAGATCTGATATGGTTCCATTAAAATCAACTATTAACACGATCTGTATGATTTCAGGTTATTTCGTCCTTAACTGCCAGTTTGAGGTTCGATGGTGCATTGAACGTGGATGTGAACGAATTCCAGACCAACTTGGTCCCGTACCCCAGAATCCACTTCATGCTTTCCTCATATGCACCAGTGATCTCAGCCGAGAAGGCCTATCACGAGCAACTCTCAGTAGCTGAAATCACCAACAGTGCCTTCGAGCCCTCATCCATGATGGTCAAGTGCGATCCCCGACACGGTAAGTACATGGCATGCTGCCTGATGTACCGTGGTGATGTTGTGCCAAAGGATGTGAATGCGGCTGTTGCCACCATCAAGACCAAACGTACCATTCAGTTTGTTGACTGGTGCCCCACTGGATTCAAATGTGGTATCAACTACCAGCCACCTACCGTTGTCCCCGGAGGTGATCTTGCTCGTGTCCAGAGGGCTGTCTGCAAGATCTCTAACTCTACCAGTGTTGCTGAGGTCTTCTCTCGTATCGACCACAAGTTTGATCTCATGTATGCCAAGCGCGCCTTCGTGCATTGGTACGTTGGTGAGGGTATGGAGGAAGGTGAGTTCTCTGAAGCTCGAGAGGATCTTGCTGCCCTCGAGAAGGATTATGAAGAGGTCGGTGCTGAGTCGGCTGAGGGTGAGGATGATGAAGGAGAGGATTACTAAGCAGCATGTTGCCAGATCCCACCTTATTGTTTGTTAGGAGTGGGCGCTCTCATTGTTGGTCTGTTCAGTCCCGTTCCTTTTTCTTTTCATTATATGAATTGTTATCGTTGCGACACTTCTGGTTTGCAAAGCATTTTGTGAATCAATTAATGTTTTAAATCAAATTTGCCATTACGTGAATGGCGTGTTATATTCCAAAATTGTCATGGATTTTTTTTTTATATTGAAATGTGCTAAAAAATTAAAAGATATTCTTTTATTGTTTTTTATTTAGAAAACTGGTATAAAATTTCCAAACTAATTCCGAAGCCAACGGAAAATTCTAGCATGGGGATTTATTTAAAAATATTTATGAAAATTTAAATGTTACATTGAAAATACGAATAATTGGCGCATGATTTGTCCTCTTTACTTCCTTTAAATAAAAAATAATAATATGCCTAAAAAGAGCCCACAAGAGCTCAAATTTCACAATTTAAAAACACTATATTAATAAAACTTCTCAAACCCTCCCCCAAAATTTAATAAATTAAAACTGCAACACAAAACTAAGAAGAATAAGAAAGAAAATTAATTTAATAAATTAAAACTGCAACAAAAAAGAATAAAAAAGAAAATTAATTTAATAAATTAAAACTGCAACACAAAACTAAAAAGAATAAAAAAGAAAATTAATTTAATAAATTAAAACTGCAACACAAAACTAAAAATAATAAAAAAGAATTAATTTAATAAATTAAAACTGCAACACAACTAAAAAGAATAAAAAAGAAAATTTTCAGCTAATAATCATTTTATTATATTATGAGAAATAATTTGACCCACAAGTTAAAATGTGTAAATCCTAGCCAAAAAGAAAAAGCAGCAGGAGCATGAGTCTTGTAACCAGAAAATTCTAGCTAATAATCATTTAGATATATTAATAATAATAGTAAGGAACATCAATTAACATTGGGAAGGGAAAACAAAGTAGTAGAAAACCAACCAATTAGGAGATTATGCGTCCGTCAATTTACCCGAGGAGCCATTTGTGACATTCTTTCGTCTTCTAAAAGAGCATATGGATCAACGTACGGTGGAGGTGATATTGGCGTTTTGGTGCCATCGTGAACAAAAGATGGTCCAAGAAACTGCATAAAAATAGTATTAGAGTAAAGATGTCGGTTTCGACCTCCTCTTAAGTACTTGGATATCAAACAGAAATTGGAGCAGTAATAAGAGAAAGGAGCCTTACAAAGTATAAAGCAAAAAAGAACGAAACAGTGACGACGATCAACGGCCAGAATCCTAAGAAGAACGTTCCTCCAATTGTTAGCAAAAGTTTAGCACGAGGGATCAACCCCTGAAAACCAAATGAAATGAATTAAAGCTGACATATGCAGTTGAAATGATAGAAATGAAAGGGAACGGACTATAATCAATCCGGTTAGGAATCCTAAACGTTTAATTTTGTATTTAGTAGATTTGTCGATTACAAAAAATTATTAAAGTTCATGAACTAAATTTGTAAATGTTAAAGTTCGAAGACCAAACAGACACAACCGACCATCATTCTTAGGGCAATCGTCCTATGCCAATCATATCAACATAATACTAAGATCCAATTAATGGATCACGCAGAAAAGATAAATGCATGATAAAGTTTATTCTGTTCCTTCCAGCACGAAATTAGAAATAAACTTCAGTTTTCCCAGGACTTTGTTTGGAAAAATAGAATATAATTCCAGTGCATGTAGAACTCAAATACTGCAGACTTCTATATTAAACCTTACGCTCAGATATGTTGGTGTTTCTCTACTGATTGACCGCTCCAAAACTGATGCTGCTAGCTAAGATTAACAGTATCATTGGTTCCAATTATGAGTTTTGGCATGTCGAAGTTAGACTTATAAAAAAATTACTAGTACGCTTCATATACGAATTACTAAGACAAATGATGTATGGAGAGAATAGCAGGCACATGATGCTGTTAACCTGCTATAAGTACAGAAAAAATGGGAGATTGTTGAATGACCGAATTGCTAATTAGGATCTGGAAAAGGGATCTGGTACTTTCTTCTTTGATTTGTCTTCATGTTTGATGGTGCTTTACAATAGAAAGCAAGTCTTTCTAATTGAGAATCACGGATGAAAGAAAGTTTGTGTTTGAGAAAGGATAGGAATTGTTACTTGGTTGATAGATTGCTTTCCACATTTTGGCGAAGGTTGGTGAAGGGTGCCTTTTTCAGGAAGTGAAGACTCTTCTTCCCTTATTTTGCCACTATATCAACGGTCTAACAGAAGAGGTTGGTTCAGCGTGTTCTATGTTAAGCCTTCATAAATAGTTGTATGCATTCAGTTAATATCTCTACCCTAATTGGTTGTATACTCGAGGCTAAAATTTGGGGCTAGAAGAGCTATTAGAAAGAGGAGAACCACCTGTTATTATGGAAGAAGTTCTCTCCGAGGGTGGCAGACTTGCTCTGATCTAGTTGGTTTTGAGTGGGATTCCTCTAAACTGAAATCTTCAAAGCTTGAACCACTGATCATTAAACTCAATGACTTCATCTCTTTTTTCGCGGGGGTGTGGGGAAGGTCCTTATCTTGTTGAGTTGTTCTAAAAGAGGGTGGTTTGGGCATTGAAAATCTAGCTTTCACAACTATTGCTCTATTAACCAAAGCCTGATATGTTGCAGTACAAGATCGATATCAGAAAATACAATCTACATTTAGGAAGCACTCAAAATCTATTTCGTTGTACCCATGCTAAATATTGTTTAATCTTTCATTTGAGAGTGGCTTCATTATTATTTTTAGGAAGGCCATTCAGTTGAAGGTGGTCTTTTAAAGTCTATTTTCCCTCTCTATAATCTCCCTCTTCAAAGAAATTTCCTCAGTTGATTTCTTTTCTTCTTTTGGGCAGTTTAGTCCCATTAACTTCACTTTCAAGAAAACTTAATTTAACAGAGCTTAACATCGACCGGGGTTTTGTATTTATCTATTAATCACTAGGATACAAGTGTTTGGGTTTTTTTTTTGCTAAACTAGGAAGAACTCGCTTCTGAAAAAGGTTAAATTCTACTCTTCTCTTTGCCGGTTGTGGGAGAATCAATATCATGGATTTATTTAAAATTGTCCTCGGTGGTTTGATTTCAATGGTGTGATCTTTGCAAGTAAGTTCATCCGAAGAGCTACTTCAGATGCATGTTTGCTGGGAAGATTTTGGAAGAAGATTTTCGGGCACCTGGCGCATGCTTTTCATTTCCAATTACCTACTTAGTGATGTGTGGAGGAGATTATTTTTCATCTACCATTTCATAACAACGACATGGTTTTTCTGCCGGCAGATTATGTTGTTGTTATTTGGAGTATTTAGTAGAAAGCACAAAGACTTCTAGGACAGAGAGGTCATGGGAGGATTTCTAAAGCTTGGCCCGCTGTAATGCTTCCCTTTAGGCTTTTGCTTCAGAAAAGTTTTGGTCGTCCATTTGTTTTGAATGGTTCTCAACGTTTGGAGCTAATTTTTGTAATTCTTTCTTACAGATCCCTTATTTGAACTTCGGTTTTGGTATGGCTGGCCAGTCTTTCGATATTCTTGGTGGGATAGTAATAATATTTTCCTCGACTGCTCACCAAATTCTGGTTATGTTGGTCATAACTCGTCAAGCATGGGAACAATAGAAAATGATAACGAAAAGATAACATGAATTTAAATATTCGAATAGCATATTCAATATACTCCAATAAAATCATAAGGAAATTAACCTCAAGGCCTTCACTGTTCAATTGCATGGAACGCTCCCTTTGATTGGATAGGCTTTTGTCAACTTCAGTTGAAACAGCACTTCTACGGGAAAAATCTCTGTTTTCTCCCTTCATCTCGCCACCAAGTCCAAAGTCAGTGTTGCTAGTATCCTCAAGCAAGGAAGTAGGAGTTATACCTCTCTTCTTCAGTTCCTTCATGAACAATGATTCTGGAGGTTCTTCACCTGAAGAAAGTAATGTAAAGTAACTTAAATCGACATAATCGAATGTATCAAACACAAAAACATTCTTGAATACGTTCAACTCAAGTAATGTACTACATACACACACGTCAGTGATGGTTTCTGAAGGTGTTGCAACTATTCTCAAACTAAATGAGAAAACTAATTACAATGGTTAGACTGATCCAAACTACGAAGGATGGGAAGCAGTGAATAATAAGGTCACAGTATGGTTGGTCAACTTGATGACAAATAAGATCGACGAAAGATTTCTATCGTACCTGGCATCTATGGAGATCTTGGGTGTAGTTAAAGCAACTTTCTCTAACCTTGGAAAACACACAGAATCCTTCAAAACTAAAATCCTTTTCCATAACCTACAACAGGGTGATTAACCAGTCCCTAACTAAAAATTACAGCCTTCTAGTAAGCTACTTGTGGCAGACTAGATTTATAGAAAATATATGCATGTGAACGTATGGCTTACATAACAAAGTATACGAAAATAGTTAAGAAAAGAGAATCCTAAGGTTCCTAATGAGGAATGTGAAAATTCCTACCACTAAGACCTATTATTAGAGATAACTGTGACGCAGATACAAACTTGGTTGGAACATCTAATCAGATGAACGCTAAAAGCTTTGCTCTAATAAGTAAAAGTTCTTCTATAATGGACCAAGAAAGGAAAGGCCAGATGTGAACGTAGTAGGAAGATGATGCATACAAAAGCGACTGGCTAGGAAAATAAGCTTGAAGGCGTTCTCGGCCTTCATATTGGAGGGCCAAAGCTAACCACGCCATTGTTACACAAGCTGAAGAAAACTCACACATCCGAAATGTAAACGCTTCTTAAAGGAGAAATCTGCCCTATGCAAAAGCTGTTCAAACAATCTAAACAAGCATGGCCAGCTAATACTCCTGTTGGCTTGGCACAGACTTGTAGCTTCTTCAAAGCTTCGACTATAAAAATTGGACCAATACAAATTTTCAAATTCCTATTTAATTTCATCTTCGTGGCCATGCCTATATTGACTCAAGAATAAAGCTCTAAAAAGAATTGGACGGCCAACTAAGTGATCTTCATTTGCAGCCGCAACCATTTTCCATCCCTCATTTACTTAACTAGCTTGATGGATACTGCACGATTTTGCTACATGATTGCGCTACTTCCTACGGAGTAAGATAACCGAGGAATGACGGACCATCTCAACAACAAACTACAACATACAACTTCTGCCTCTTTTAAGCAAGATGATGCCTACGATAGTGAGCATCTACTATCTTACTCTGTTGACTGCAGCACAATCAACGAGTAAAATCATGCGAGTTCCATCCAAATATTCGTTCATCATTCCCGAATTATCTCGTCTCTATTTCTCGCTATGAAAATAACTAACAAACACGAACATCATTTCATCAAGACATCCGAACAAGGCAAATGCACTGAGTAAGAGAATTAAGGAATGAGGAACGAATAGCTGGATGAATCTCATCTCTCACGATTTTGCGACGTGATTGAGCTACTGTCAACAGAAGAAGATAATTCAGAAGCGACGGACCAACTGAGCTGCAAACTACACCATGCAACTTCGGCCTCATCGAAGGAATAGGCTGCATACCGTCTCTCTATCTCGTTTAAGTCAATGATGACGAACATGAATTCATGAAGAAATCCGAGCGAGGCAAACACATTGAGAGAGATAAACCAGGAATGACGGACGAATAGCCGGATGGATTCTCACACGATTGTCTACAAAGAGAGAGAGTTTAGGACTAAGAATGACAGACTATCCGAACAAAACCACATCAGTAACTATTGCCTCATCTAAGCCAGTTAACTAGTTGCCTCTCTATCTCTCGCTTTCAATATTACAAGACGAAGTCTACAACAACGAACAACAAATCATCAAGAAAATGCGCTGAGAGAAAAACAAATGAGAAAAAGAAGACCGCAAAAAGCAGAAGCAGAAACAAAAGAAGAAGAAGAAGAAGAAGAAGAGCGGTCAAAACTTGCCGTTGCTTTCCTTATCAGAATCCTGAGCAGCACAACGGAAACTCAACCTTCTACGAACGCAGCCATATCGCAAACTCCTCCGACGGCCATGGAGCAGTGTAAACCTCCTAGTGGAATCCAACTCCGAGAAGAACCGGCTTGATTGAGAGCCAAACTTCGGCTGAGAGATTGAAGGAGGAGAGACAGTTGATTTAAGAATTTGCAGAACAGCCATAGCTTGGGTAGCTAGAGCTTTCTTTCTCCCAGTGAATTCAATGGGAGAAATAGCTTCATCTCAGTTTTCAGAAAACAACAAAATAAAATGAAATACAAGCGGAGGCGAGGAATAAAAGCGTATACGCATCAGCTGGTGCGCATTTTAGCAAAATCTCAGATTAAACACTAATTTGCGCATGTGGGACCCGAAATGGGATTTTGCTTGTGGCTCGGATTTTATTTTATGTTATTAATTTAATTAAATTAATTTTAATTGGAAAATAGAGTTGAAAGAGGAGTGAGAGAAGACAGGGATGTGTGGGGATAACAATGATTGAAAACACTTGGTGTAGAAAGTTCCACAAGGGGCATTTCATTATTTAAGGGATTATTATTTCAACAAAAATATAAGACATTTAAGAATATAAATAAATAAATAGTTTTGTTTGTTTCCTTTTGTCACTCGGCTTTAAATGTTTTGTTTTAATTTTTAAAAAATGCAGTAAAAAATGATTTATAATTAGGGTTTCCGTCGATATTTCATCGTTAGCAACCTCCTATTTATCGATCATCAAAACCATATGCTTGATCAACTTCTCTAGTGGCATTGTCTATGCTCGATCAACTTCTTTAGTGGCATTGCCTTCTAACTGGCCAGCATATACCTCTATTAAATCCACCTAAACTTGAAGGTACGATCGATCCAATCAATTGAGTCTTCTTAATTCCACCTGAACTTGAAGGTACAATCGTTCCAATCAATTGGGACTTCTTAATTCCACCTGAACTTGAAGGTACGATCGATCCAATCAATTGGGTCTTCTTAATTCCACCTAAACTTGAAGCTACGATCGATCCAAGCAATTAGGTCTTCTCCTATCCAAACCAATCTCAAAACTGACGGATCATATTTAAAAGACAATCTATAACACTATGGCTTATTGTCCTTATGGTACGACGGTAGCTTGAATGCGACTTCTACGACTACTCAATCGATTAGAATAAACTAAGGGAAGAAGATTTCTCTCAGTAACCTAACTCGCTTGGTCTCCTGTTTCTACCGAATAAATCCAGAATACCCAATTTCAGTACGGTTATTCAAGTGACCAAATATTAGCTACTAGTAGTACAAAACAACAAACGGCCTATCCAAGCTTCAAAGTAGTCTTTATAAACAGAGAGCCACAAATAATAAGTAGATAAATAACCTCCACATATGGTACATGCAATCATAAATCACTGAAGTTTCTTGGATTGGTTGGTTCTCTTCTTCTCTTTCTCCTACACGATGGTTTTCAGCTGGATTGATTGGGACGCCATTGATGCAGCTCGAGCTGGAGAGATCTCAGAGACCACCAACACAGAGTCCCCCTGTTTCACTAATCCCTTTGATTTCACAAGCTCGATGCCCCTCCAGATGTTTGCTTCAATGTCTTCTGAGAGCTCAATGCGCAGAGGAAACACTCCCCATTGCAGATTCAAAGCCATTCTTGTGCTATCATCATCGGTCAATGCAAATATAGGCGGCCTTGGGCGGTTGCGGGATAGAAGAGATGCCATGTGCCCTTGCGTTGTGAGCACAAATATGGCGTCTACTGAAAGCCTGTTAGCTGCCAAAAACAACATGGAGATGTTTGTTTTGGTGGAAACGTGGGCCAAATGCACTTAGCAACACTCAAACAAAACAGTAGTTTTCGTTCAAAGGTAATTAATTTACTTCTTGACACCTAACTAAGTGCAAGGATCAGTTCTACAACAGCTTCATACCACAAAAACATCAAATAAACTTCTAAACTTTAATTTGTGTGCCTAATAAATTCTTCAGCGAACTTTAAAATATGCTATGAACTATTAAATACAAAATTAAAAAATTAAGAGATTTATCATACACATATTTGATACTTTCTAAAGTTAATGACAGAAAAATTATGAATATATTAGACACTTTTTAAAGTTCAAGGCTTACTGGATACATAATTGAAAGTTTAAGAATATATTAAACATTTTTTTGAAAGTTCGGCTATCAATAAATACAAATCTAAAAGTTTAGGAACTAAACTTATAATTTAACTAAATATCTCTAACTATCTCCCATACGAACGGTAAGTCTCACGCAGGTTCATATTGATATTTAGAAGCTATTCTTGTGCTTGTAAAAATTACTCTAACTATCTCCCATACGAACTGTAAGTCTCACGCAGGTTCATATTGATATTTAGAAGCTATTCTTGTGCTTGTAAAAATTACTCTTCACTTTTTACGAAGATTTTAAGACTATTCTTGAAGTAGAAATTTTTTAGAATTTAAGACGATAATATATTCTATGAAGAATGGTTGAATAAAAGCCAAAAGCCAAACTGTTTTACCTAATTCAGCAGCAGAATTGCAAATTTCTTCTGCAATGCGATCGTGCAATGACACCCCAAGTTGATAGTGGGGAAGGAAATTTTCCCTATTTTCTTCGCGACTCCATAACTCCATTCGGCAGCTGGCCATCTGTAGAACCGAAAGCGCTTTCTGTCCATATGATCCTATGGCAGACTCCCCAGATAACATTAATGCATCAGCATACTGTCGGACAGCCTCCGAAACATCTGCAACCTATTCAACACCCCCCCAAAATGGATCATCATTATAGTCTTCAACATTTTGAAAATCATTCCAAACATGCCTGAAATTAGAAACCGAAAATAAAATTTTCATACCTCAGCTCGTGTTGGTGTAGGATATTCAACCATCGACTCTAGAAGTTGAGAAGCTATGATCACTGGTTTGTTCAGTTCCCTACAGACACTAGTTATTTCCTCTTGGACTGCTGGTATCTGCTCCAGCGGAATTTCAACCCCAAGATCTCCTCGAGCCACCATGATTCCCTCAGAGGCCTCTATAATTTCTTCCAGATTCTGAAGAGACTCCAAGCTTTCGATCTTAGCCAATACCCTTACGGATCTGTGCATGAAAACAGATTTTCCCCTTCATCACTAAATTGAGTTTTGAAATTACCCAAAATATCTGTTTCAGTAGCAATATTTTGCCAGAAATTTTTTAGGGAAAAGAATGTCTCTATAATTGTAGCTGTGCTGATGAAAATTCAATTGAAAAGGACGTGGGGATTTATCGTTCATGCATAGCAGTGGTAGTGATAGTGATAGTTCAACCCAATTCATGGTAAAAGTTGACTTCTTATGCTTACTTTGCTGGTTTTGTTGATAGGAAGTTCTTTAGATGCTTGACAGGATCTGCACTGTTCACGAAGGAAAGAGCAATGAAGTCGACGCCTTCCGCAATGCCAAATTCAATGTCCGACCAATCCTGTAATACACCATGAAAAAACAGGGTTTAAACGCAGAGATCCGGCATCATCCAAGAAGACATGATTAATTAAATTCTTTTACTCATGTTTATGCATTAATATGAAAAGGCCAATCAATAAAATACATCATATTTTAAACTTTCAACATCATTCTCTGTCTATAACCGTCTATAACCGCCCAAGCCCACCGCTAGCAGATATTGTTTACTTTGGCCTGTTACGTATCGTCATCAGACCTACGGTTATAAAATGCGTCTACTAGAGAAAGGTTTTCACACTCTTACAAAGAATACTTGGTTCCCCTCTCCAACCAACGTGGAATCTCAGAATCCACCCCTTGGGAGCAGCGTCCTTGTTGGCACACCACCAGACGTTTGGCTCTGATACAATTTGTAATAGCCCAAGTCCACCGCTAGCAGATATTGTCCACTTTGGCCCATTACGTATCGCCGTCAACCTCACGGTTTTAAAATGCGTCTACTAGAGAGAGGTTTCTACACCCTTATGAGAAATGTTTCTTTCTCTTCTCCTAATGATGTGGAATCTCACAATCCACTTCCATTGGTGGGTCAGCGTTCTTGCTAGCACACCACTCAATGTCTGGCTCTGATACCATTCGTAACAACCTAAATCCATCGCTAGCAGATATTATCCGCTTTGGTCCATTATATTTTGTCATCAGCTTTACGGTTTTAAAACGTGTCTACTACGGAGAGATTTTCATCCCTTATAAAAAATGTTTCGTTCCCATCGCCAACGTGAGATCTCAAACTAAAATCTAACTCACATATTTCATCACAACTAAATTTCTCAGAATGAGTATTGATATGCATCAGAGACACGTTCCTACCTTTCTCGACAGCGTTGGAGACTCGTGATTTCTCACAACAACCCTCCCATCTCTCCAAAAGCTGCACTTTGCTCGAGGAAGAAACAAACCAGGGTCTGTGCACCTGCAGCTTAAATCATTCCCAATCTTTTCAATAACCTCAAAGGTTGCCATTCCTCCATCAATTACAATTGAATCACCCACTTGAATACCTGCCCAAACTCATAAAAGAAAGCTCATCAACATCAAACTCATATTCTAATTAACTTGTGGGATTCAAATATTTCTTCTAATCACAATCCAGAAGACGAAGAAACAAAAGATTCAAGACACACCTTCAGAGAAACCTTCATAGCTCGCTTGAACAGTGAATGGACGAGAGCCCTCAAATTTCTCAGCAGTGAACAACCAGATTGAACCATCCTGAACAATCATGGCCAGAAAATTTAGACTCAGTGTTCTTAATTTACAGAAGAAAACAGTGAACATAGTATCATATTTCAGTTAAATAGCAGCAAAAAATAACAGAGATATAACATTACCTCTACTTTTATGGAGGAAGGAGCTCCATGATCAACCACATGAATCTGACTCCCTTCAGTATCGATCATCACCGAAATACAGAATCCTTTCCCCTCATTTAACTTCTTGATCTTCCGAATCACATCGCAATGCCACTCTCTCGAATTGTGGCACATATTCAATCTCGCAATGTTCATACCTTCCAATGCCAACTTCTCCAGATCCTCAATCGCACTACACGCAGGGCCAATAGTACATACAAGCTTCGTCTTCCTCATCCCTAAAAATCCTTTCTCCTTCAACTCCCTTTCCGCTACAATATCAAGCCCTAATGTCGCTTCTAAGCCCTCCAATCTTCTCAATCTCTCCGCATCCTCCAAATCCACTTGCATTACCGCCTTCACCCCATTTCCAACTCTCCCCGTCGTCCTCCGATTGCACCAAACTGTTCGACCGAAAACCGGCATGCCAAAACCCGAACGCTTCAAATCTAATACAGGATTTTTCGCAACAAAATTGCAACCAGCACGAATCATCATAGCATTTACCTCCGCCATTGACAAAGAGCAACAACAAAAGAAAAAAGCTCAGCAGCTATCTTCGTCGTTCTTCAGCAACAGGCCTTGGATAGCCTTCGAATAGTATTGTCCGCCGAGTTTGGAACAGCGGTAACAAACAATGGTGGATTTTACAAGAAAAGCAGAAGAAGAATATTCGGCGAGAAGATTTATCGCGTAAAACCCTAATATAGTTGTAAATCTTGAAGACTTTTGGCGCTCTGTTAGGTGCTGATCAATATTAATTAATTTAAACTTACCGGTCAACTAACTTTCCCGACGTTTCGTCTGATGCTGCCACGTGGCGGCCGGCCACTGTTTCCTGCAGTTTTGTCTTATGCTGTAACCTTCTTGCCATTTCTTTTCTTTTTTTTAAATTTTTTTAATTTTCGAAAATGTTAAACATGTTTTTTTTATTTAATTTTTAATTTCATTTTAAATAATGGAATAATAATAATACCTTCAATTCTATTATGATTTTGCCACGCAACAATGTTTTCAAAATACAAAACGACTAATAAAATAGTTTTTTAAAATGTTTTATTTTTTATTTTTTTTAATTCAAATGCGTTTATTCAGAGGAAATAAATTTAAAAAATAAATGCAAATTTTTAGATAAAAAATAATTATCAATAAAACATATATAGGGACTAGGGAGTGGACAAAGATGTACGGAAGGCATTATGCAAGACCCACCAATATAAATGCCTTTTGGATCTACCCAGTTGGTGGTAGACAGCTGTCTCCCTTTCTTTTATTCCTTAACTAAAATTAAGAGTAAAAAAAATTCGTTTCTAAATTCATGATTTGAATTACTATACCGTAAACTCATATTTATTTAAGAACCATCGTATGCAACTTTTATTTTAATACCTAAAATCATTATACTAAATCAATAACCTGTTATTTAAATAATTCATAGCCAATTCAAATGGTGTAACTCTCATGCTTATCAATACACAATAATCATAACTGTATTTTAAAATTTTAAAATTAAAAAATAAATTAAACTTCTATATGTATTTGGTATATTCTTATCATCTACCATGAAGTTCGTGTGGCATGATTATTTCGTATAAAAAATACAATAGCTCAAATATTGAGAAACTCTCAAATTGCATTCTAATTCTAACCACTATGTCTTTGCTTTTCAGGGTCTTACTCATAACATTTGACTCGAGGTTAAATGTATGCACAAAAACACTCCAAAATTTTAACATGTAAGCACGTTTTTTCATTTAATACACGAATCAACTATTATTGTGTCGATTTCTAATTCTACTAGAGCGTCTGACGGGAGTCACGATCTCTTCGTCTCCATTTTTCTGCCAAAAAAAACGAAAACAAAAACAAAAATTAGTTTTTTTCAAAATTTTTTATTAGTTTTATTGTAGTCTATTAAAATTCTAACCGTTCTAAATATAGTTTCTATTTTAAAAATAAAATAAAATATTATAATTTTAAAAGTACTCTATATCATCTTCATTTAAAAAAAAACATTAAAATAATAATAATAATTTAAATCACTAATTTAAGGGGAAAAAGGAAAAAAAAAAAAGGTTAAGTTTTGAGATACTCACATGCTTGATTGGGATCTTCTCATAAGTTGTGAAACGCCCATAAGATGGAGAAGCCGAAGAGGACACTGAGTAATCATCCAAAGAAGAAGAAGCCATGGATTCTCGTGAATTCTCCATCCTAATCTTCCTCCTCCCATGGCTATGGCTCTGAACTTCACTCGATCTGGTCGCTGCTTCAGCGATGGATTCTCTTCTTGAATTCTCCCTCCTCACATGGCTATGGCTTTGAAATTCATTCGATCTTTTTGCTGTTTCTGTTTCTCCTTCTCTCACGCTGCTGTACTGGAAAAAACTACTCGTTTCAGAAGAGCAAAATTCTCCGGCCATATCATCGTCGTCATCATCCGGTGCTTCTTCTTCTTCTTCCTCTTCCACCAGACTCTGGTTCGTCTTCTTATCTTTCAGCAATGGCTCCTCTTGCTGCTCTTCCGCAATGGCCGCTGTGGATGTTGTTCGTCTTGAGCCTGATTTTCTTGCATAAATCAGTCCTGCAGGTATAATAAGAAATAAACCTAGCAGTATTGCAGATATTATTGCAGCCGTGTTCTGTGTGAAATCACGAGAGATTCCGGTGGCTGTTCTGATGAGATCGACGATTTTGCCGCCATTTTCTTCTTCAACATCAGATTGATGTTCAGATGGAGGAGAAGAAACTGGAGGTGACTGGTATTGAAATTCTGTGTTTGTTTCTTCCTGTGTTTCCCCTGTTGCTGCTGCTTGTTCAATTTGATCATGTAATTTAAAATCAGACGATGAAGAAGCTTTGAAATTCTCTACGGTTTTCTCTTGAATGAATTCTTCTTCAACGATTTCTAGTAATGATTCTTCAGAAGCCTCGTCATTCTCTTCTTCGCTGTCTTTCTGATCATTGGCTTTGGCTTCAGCCTTTTGAAACGGTTCTTCTTCTACTTCTTCGTTCTGAGATTCTCTTTCAACAGTTTCGATTCCAATTTCTCTCACCTTCATGGCTTCGGTATCTTGTGCTTCTTCTTGCTGTTCTTGTCCCTCTATATTCTGACCTTCTCCCTCAATATGTTCAATGATTTCTTGTAATGATTCTTCAGAAGCCTCGTCATTCTCTTCTTCAATGTCTGCTGAATCATTGGTTCTGGCCTCAATCTCTTGAAACGATTCTTCTTCTGCTTCTTCATTCTGAGATTCTATTTCAACAGTTTGGATGCCAATTTCTCTCACCTTTATGGCTTCAACCTCTTGTGCATCTTCTTCTTGTTCTTGTCGCTCTTTATTCTGACCTTCTCTGTCCTTCATGGCTTCCATTGCATTCATCAAATTGTTTTCTTCTTCCCACACGTTCTGATTAGATAATACAAGACACTGCTCATCCTTATTGACATCCCCGTACTCAGTTTGGTTCAGAAATATCAATGGCGGCCCTCCTCTGAAGTTGAAAACCACATCAGAAATAAAAGAGATGGAATTCGCATGCCAAATCTCAAGTTTCTCAACCAACACATTGAAATTCGTTTTAGCAGACTCGAAAATTTCGGACTGATCCCCCGTTGTTAACATGGTTGATCTTTGGAAGATAGTTGGATCATGGACATTCACAACACAAATCGACAAGCAAGCAGTAAACAAAATCAAAAGCAGAGAACTGATCTTGAGTATCCTAGACAGCTTCGACGACTTTTTAACTTCCGTGGGGCCTTGTTCAGAAACATTAACCTCTTCTTCTTCTTTTTCTTCTTCTTTCATCTGTGATTCATTGGAAGAAACTTCATCAGATTCTTTCTGTGGATCTTCACAGTCAATCTCCTCCGAAGAGGAAAAGAGTTCCTCAAACCTACCGTCTGGTCGATTGATTCTTCGGTTTGGGTTGTAATGGAGGAACTGTGGCCTTGGCGACAGATAATTAGTTTTAGGATCATAAGGAGTGATTATGGGATCAGCATCCATAGGTGCTATCATTGGAGAAGAAACTGGACTGATGTTAAAACTTGGGTCAAGATTAACAGAATCCACTTCTTCAGTTAAATTACTGTTAACCGAAGACTCTAAAGCGTTGTTCGAGACAACCTCGAAATCAGAAAATCTCATAATCTTTGAAGCTTCGGGAGTTACAGCTGCAATGTCGGAATCTGAAATCGGACCGATTTCAGGCTCTGCGTTGGCCTCAACAGCCACTGTTACAGCTTCTGGGTTCGGATCGTGTCCATGTCGGTATGTGTATTCCGAATCGTCACAGAAATCAGAAATAACCTCAAAACCACCGAATGTCACAGTTTTAGAAGATTTGGAAGATGCTGCTGCAATGGCAGATTTAGGAATCGGACCAATTCCAGACTTCGTATCGGTTACAGCCGCCATTGTTACCAACTCCGGGTTCAAATCATATCGGTAAGTAGATTCTGAATCCTCGTACGAACCAGAAATGACCTCAACACCACCGAATCTCACTGTTTTTGTTGATTTAGGATTTGAAATTAGAGGCATTGGAGGGTTCGTATCGGATTCAAATGCCATTGATGCCTCAGGAGTTGGATTCATCGAGTTGAGTGAAGAGCTTTTCATGCCGGAAAATGAAAGAGACGAACGAACTGGCTCGTTCCGATCGCCCAGAATCTTCTTCTTCGGAGAGACGGCAATCTTGGAGGCGGCGGAAATTGTAGACGACATGAAATTCTTCATCGATTTTCCGACCGTCGGCGAACGGACTCTGGTGAGTTTCGGACTCTGATCTTTCCCATTTTCTTTATCCTCATTGTCTCGAGAAGTAAATAGAATTTCTCTGCTCACAGAATTCCTTTGTGGAGGATAATCTGCAACTTTGATTCAAAGAAACAAATAAGAATAAAGATCGCAGAAACGTTGAAGATGGAAATCATCATGTTTAGAAGAACAAAGAAAGGAACGGATTATATCGATGGAAGAATCGAAATGGCTATGCTAGTGAGCATCAGAGATTCTTTGATTCTGTAACCCTAACCCTAATAAATTTTCTCATCCAATTTCTCGGCAACCAAACAAATTTCCAGTTCTAAAGGAAGAAACCAAGCAAGGAGAGAGCAGAATCAGAGAAAAACATAAAGGAAAAGCAGATATTCTAGCCACTTTCTCAGCAACCAAACAGAATTAAACCACTCTAAGATCACAGGAAAGAAACCAAGCATGAAGAAAACTCAAACAAACCGGAGGGACTATTCGCCGGAGTGATCGGATTCAAGCTTCTCAAACTGGTGGCGATCGACGGCTTCGAAAACGGATTACTGGAGAAGCTCCGGTAGACAGGGTTGCCGATTTCGGAATTTCTCGAAATAGGGCTTGTTCTTCCGGTCACCATCGACGGTGAAGACGATCTGTTAGACGGCAGCGCCATTAAAATGGATTTGGGTGAAGATTTCAGATATAAAGGAAAAGAGAAATTTGAGAGATTCAAATTGGATCAGAAATGAAATGTCGGCGAAAATATTTAAGGGGAGAGAGAGGGGTTTTTGGTGAAGATGATTCTTATTTTCTTGGTTAGTAACGACTAGTTTTCAAATTTAATGAAGGGATCTTCTGGAACTTAAAAAATAGAGGATTTTGTATTGGACCGTTGTAGTTGCGAAGAATAGGTAAGCAAGCGTGCGAATTTGGGAAGGAATAGAAGCGTTTATAGCCGTTGGATCTATATCTACGGATTGAGTAGATCCAGGCATGTAGCCGTTGACATAATTTTTCTTCCGCACATGTTTTTTTTAAATAATTTCGATTATAATTTATTTCAAAAGAGAGAAAAAAAAAATTAATATTCGTTGATATACTTTTATAAATCTTATAATTAATTATACGATAATAATAATTTCAATGCCCGAAAATAATAGTGAATATGTCTTAAAAAAAAATGCATAGTGCATTTTGCAATTTTGTTTTTTTTATTTTATTTGTTGTTAGCAAATTTAACTTTAGGACGGGTAGGCTTATGTTGGGATTTAATTTAACAATGCTATCCATATTGTTAAAAGGACACAATAAATGTACATTAAATTAAAAAATCATTTAAAATCCATTACCCATCGTTACCAATAAAAATTATAAAGAAATATCCTATATTAACTTGTTTTTTTTTATTCACTGTGTTTATGTTAAATTTTAAAATTAATTTTGGGATTTAAAAAATTCATATTTAATATTTATATTTTTAAAAGATATAATTTCATTTTTATGTTATTTACTAGACTTTTTATTTTATTTTAATATTATGAAAATAGATAAAATTTATAATTTAATTTTATTTTGACCTGGTCCTACTCAATCCATTGTTTAGCAGTCAGTTAAATCACGCCATGTTTGAAGTCTACCACTTCATCAATATTATCGTTGGAGGAAATTTATAATACACGAGTGATATCAAAAGGCTGAACTTATGATTTAATATTTTAATTGTCCACAAATAATTACAAATATAAAATAAATCTTAAAATATTATTATAGTCCATGTCTAGTTCTATCCTAATTCAACAATAAATAAATAAATAAATATTAAAAAAAAAACCGCCAAATCTCTTTAATGTTTCATTTCATGCAGGAAATTTATAATACACGAGTGATATCAAAAAGCTGAATTTATGATTTAATATTTTAATTGTCCACAAATAATTACAAATATAAAATAAATCTTAAAATACTATTATAGTCCATGTCTAGTTCTATCCTAATTCAACAATAAATAAATAAATAAATATAAAAATAAAAATAAAATAAAAATAAAAAAACCGCCAAATCTCTTTAATGTTTCATTTCATCACACGCAGTCTTTTCACCTCGACCTCCCTCCCTCCATTTTTAGAATCCTTGAATCCTGCACAGCTCCGTTCACCGCCTCCACCAATCTTCCATTACATCACCTTACAACCCTCCGCCCTGCGTGTAAGATATCCAGCATCCGATGTTCGTACAGCAGTATCCACAACTCTTTTACGCGCTCCGTATCAAGAAATTATATATTCCGTTAAGGACAACCCCTCGCGTAAATTGCTTTGAATGGGTAAATCAATCATTTGATCAGTCATCCTAAAATTAGGATTCATTTCTTGTCGCAAATATTCACTTGTACCATACCATATCAAAATGGACTGGCGCCAAGCCTCCTCAATTTCTCCCCATCTTCCACCACATTTCCCATATCCGCCCAAATCCGTTCGAATTCTCAGTTGCCTCTTAAAGACTCTCTTCTGTGGATCAATCGTACTGCGCTCTGCGGTGAATTGTCGGTTGACGATGTTGGGAAACGGGTTCGGCTGTGTGGTTGGGTCGCCCTGCATAGGGTTCACGGTGGTCTAACGTTTCTCAATCTTCGAGACCACAGTGGTATTGTTCAGGTGCTTATTTTTATGTGTTTTTGTTACTTCTGTTTGAATTCTTGGGACTGGCAAGTTCTATTGTTGTGAATTGGTTTTTACTGCTTGAATTAGGTGACTACGCTCCCCAACGAATTTCCAGATGCTCATTCGACTATTAATGACTTGCGGCTTGAGCATGTTGTTGCTGTAGAAGGCACTGTACGGTCTCGGCCTGGCGATTCAGTTAATGTAAAAATGAAAACAGGCTTGATAGAGGTATGTAAGAACTTTGATTTTATTTTACTGTTCATGTAGCCTGGCATTGGATTGGAAATGTTTTGACGAACACGACTCTCCACAATAGTATGATATTGTCCACTTTGAGCATAAGCTCTCGTGGCTTTGCTTTGGACTTCCCCAAAAGGCCTCGTACCAATGAAGAGAGTATTCTTTGATTATAAACCCATGATCATTCCCTAAATTAGTCGACGTGGGACTTTCATCATCCAACATTCAGTTTTCTCGCTCATTAAATTATGCTCATGCCTGCCCTCCACGGTCCCCATGGCCATCTCCGAATGAACAAGAATTTTAAGCTAGATTTTGAATTTTCAAGTATTTAATCGCAGGCTTGAACCTAGTATGTTGGAGGAATTTCCGAACATCACAAGCTTTTGCAAAATAAATTCATTCATTCTTGCTAAGAAACAATTCTGGGAGTTACTGGTCACGGTTGTTAAAGATAGATCAGTCGAAGTGATTAGTTCTTTTGGGTGTCCTGGAGTCGCCACATAAATGCTGCTTCTAGCATGGAACACTTGTTTTGGTTGCATGGTATATTTATCTCAACTTGAAGGCAAGAATTCTAAGGTTGTAGCCATAAAAGCACCCTTTTTAAAGGGGAAACTTCAGAATTTTTGAAGGAGGGGATAGAGATGGGGTTTGTGGGATTTAATTTTATAGTTTTATTTTGATAGTTTTATGGAAATCGTTCTCTGTCACGCTCTTTATTGGTGTAAATCCTCACATCTCTTTAAGGATTAAAGTCTTTCTACTTCACTCACCTGTTGGAAATCCTTTTTGTATCCACCTACGGTGGAGTGAGCCCTTTTGTACATTTCATTCATCAATGAAATCAACGTCAGATTAAAACGAGCTGAGCATTTATAGGTACCGGTACCTTGATCTACGAAGGAAGCAAATGAATTTTAACATAATGCTCCGGCATAAAGTGGTGAAGCTCATGCGTAGATATTTAGAGGATGTACAGCTCTGTTTATAATTTTAACATTTTTGGCCTTTTTTGATGTTTTCTTGAATAATTCTCTGCATTAGAATTTTTACATTATACTGTATGGATGGTTAGAAATTGAATTTTTATAGCCATACTTCGATTCTGAACTTTTGATGGTTATAAGGTAGATTGAGACGCCAATCCTTTCTAGATCTACTCCAGAAGGTGCTCGGGATTATCTAGTGCCGTCTAGAGTTCAGGTAGCCTATATTGACTCAACTTCTTATTGATTCTGATTGCTCTCGAGGCGGGTTGTTTTGGTAACTAGTATTTTTCAATCCAAAAACTTAAAATAATTTTCTTGAGAAATCTGAATGTGATGCCATTTTCAGTTTCTAGCTATGTTCTTTATTGCTTTTTTATTTGGGTAGTTGGTATACCTTGTTAATTCATATCACAGTAAGTGGTAAGTAACTTGTAGAGCATAATATTCATTCCCTTTTAAGACATTTCGTGCCAAAAGTTTATAAACGGAAATGGAGGTGTTAAGAAAGTGCAGTTAGGTCCACATTTTTTATGTTTTTCTGTATTCGCAGAATGCCTATTCTTTGAGGTGGTGAAGTTAATTACCTTTTCCTCAAAAAAAAAAAACATAATTGTTGTTTCCCGACAAAGAAGATAACAATATAACATAATTGTGTTCATTGCTTTTGTTGCTGTACATTGGTGGAGGGAGTTTGAGAATTCACAAACGTGAAGTTCAAGAGAAGGTTCTGGAGATTGTGGGAATCTCTCATGAACAGGTAAAAGCTAAAAGGGTTTCATGGTTCATTAATTTGGTTTGGTCCCATTAATTTATGAGGCCGAACTGATTGTTTGGTTCAGCTGGTCCAGGGAAGATATTATCATCTCCTTCAATATTATTAGTTTTTCTTGTTCTTTTCTGGCTTGGCAGGCAGAAGCGAAGTTCGGTTATTTATTGGAGGCACTAGACATGGGTGCACCCCCTCATGGTATTAACCATTAAAGCTTTCTTCCAGTGCCTAAAACTTTAAGTCATCCTTATTGTTTAAATGCATTTCAATCATGCCAGTACTGATAATATATTGAAATTTTTAATATTGGGTTGCCTATTTTGATACTAAATCTGGTTCTTTATAAGTTCTTTTAGGGGAGACTTGGAGAACTTTCTTAGGTTTTTTTTTTATTTTTGCATCTGATCTGACTTATGAGAGAATAAGATGAGGAAAGAGCTTTCTATTCAAGGGATTATGGAGAGTTTCTACTTGGTGTTTATGTTAGATTTATAGATTATTTGTCCAATTACGAAGTAGTTTACAATATTTATTCAACCTCTAGGAGACTAGGATTGGAAAATCAGCCAGGGGTGGGCCTTTCAGTAGGGCTTGAAATGACCATAGATATCTTTGAAGACCCCATGTGGAAGATTTAATGATCTAAATTGTTTGTTTGTCTTCCAAATTTGGTTTCGGGTGAAGCTTCCTCCAACATTAGTGTAACAGATATTGTCCGCTTTAGTCCGTTATGCGTTTTCTATGGAAAGGGTCTAGCCCTACTCCGACTGGTGCCTCGCACCGTCCAGTGACGGGCTCTAATATCATTTGTAATTGTCCAAACCCACTACTAGCAGATATTGTCCTCTTTGAGCTTTCCCTTTCAGCCTTCCCCTCAAGGTTTTTTTAAAACGCGTCTACTAGGAAGAGGTTTTCAAATCTTTATAAAAAATGTTTCGTTTCCCTCTCCAACCGATGTGGGATCTCTCAATTAGTGGGTTGTGAGCATAATACAAAGCGGGTCCTCAAATACTTGGTTACCAATAGAAAGAACGAAACAGAAAAAAGAAGTGCAATATGAATATCGGTGTGGTAGTGGACCGACTAAATAGATGAATGGTGTATTCTATTCGGGATAATAATCGGTGCGTTTATCTCTACTAAGCCAGGCTCATATTGACTTCTATTTCATATACATGACTAGTGGTCCTCATAGCCATTAATAATATGTCTATTTCTTTTGTTTTAACCTTTTTTCCCCTTGGTGCAGGGGGCATTGCTTATGGGTTGGACAGATTAGTCATGTTATTGGCAGAGGCAAATTCCATTAGGGATGTCATAGCTTTCCCAAAGACAACAACAGCACAATGTGCCCTCACAAAAGCTCCTTCAGAAGTAGATCCCCAACAACTCAAGGATTTATCATATCAGAACCAATAAGTTTACGTTCAGGTGCTCGTCCAGTCTGGTTCGGTTCAACTTTTAATTCTATATTCACCTCACTCGGCCCGTAATTTTTCGACTCAATGGCCTTGCATGTTTTGAATCCGTGTTAGGATGTGATGAGCAATAAACACAAATTTTTGTAAGTTAACGAAGTTCATCAAATCCCGTTAACAGGATCGGAGTTCTTCTAGTTACAACGTCGAACATGTTGACCTAATTTAGTGATGGGCGTTTTAGTTTGATGTCATACACAGTATAGGTATAGTGTGCTGTGTTTGGCTGTTACTTAATGTCTTTTAATTTGGTTGGGCCGTTTTTGGTGCTTGTGGTTTTGGTGCAGACAGGCGATTATCGGTTGTCAAGCAAAAGGTAGAAGCATGTGGATAAGAAGATGGGTGTGCAGATTGCTTCGATTCTCTTACCATAAAAAGGTAAACAATAAACAGAATTATTGAGGAATTAATTGTCTTGTCAGGGTTTTTTAAATTATTAATTAACTAATAAATTACTAAACGATACTATGATTTTGATTGCATTTAATTCCTCTTAAATCACTCTTCTTTTGTTCATTAATCTTTAAATTAAATTTGTTAAATTTTCAGTGATATTATAAGGTTTTATGAACATTTTAAATTTTAGAGTGTATGATAAGTTTTGAACGAATTTAATAAGTTTAAGAATTAATTGATCTATTGATACAAAATTTAAATTTTATGTTTAATAGAATTTTAAAATGTTAATTTTGTATCTAAATCATTAAATTTTAAAAAAATTATAAAATTTAAAAATTAAATTTATAATTTTGAAAGTTTAAATATTAAATAGACAAAAACTCTTTTAAAAGATTAAATTATTAATTTAACAAAATAATTAAGTCCAAACATTAACAAAATATATGGGTCTCGTGAATCATTTGTAGGTTTGAATTTGATGTAATATTCTACATAAAAAAATAATTGGAGTTTTTATATTTTACGGGTTTAAAATATTTTGTTAAAAAAATTAGAAAAAAGATAAATAAAGGATTAACACCAAAATAAAAATTGAAAGCTATTGCTAAAATTATTTTAAAAAATGCCAACAAAAGGAAACCAAAGCAGTAAAAAAGTAGTAGTAAATAATTTACAATTATTGTAATTCAAAAAAAGGAAAAAAATAAAATATTTAAAACATTATTTATTTATTTATTGGAGCTGATCCGACAGCTTGAGCTGTGCAAAAATAGTGTCGTACAAAAATAAATAAATAAATAATTAATTAATTCTGGAGGTGTCGTTCTGATCCTTAACGCAATCAGCGGGAGGGGCACTCAGAAGAACAGAACTCGCGACTTCAGAAAACGACACAGCACATCCCCAGCCGACATGTCGACCTGAGTTGGGTGTCAGAGATCAAACCCACCGTGAAGTGGGTCCCTGATACGTTGGATACTGACATGTGTGGGCCCCTTCCATACGTGGCAATAGTGAAAACGACAACATTTCTTGGTCGGATATGACGTGGTCGTATGGCAGCGTACGTGCGGAAGTCTTTAGCTAATGCCTTTTCCAGCTCATTTTCTTTTTAATTAATTAATCTTTTTATTATAAATTTAATGTATATTCATTTTGCTTTAGAATCTCCCACCATATATTTTCCTTATTCATCCTCAGCTGCCAGGTCAAATCGCCTGATTTCTTCCCTCTGTGAGCTTGCTCCCTTCTTCCGCCACGTGTCCCCAACCATTTATTTTTTAATCATTATTTTATTAACATATTTAAATATATGAACATTAATTTTTTTTTAATGCAAAAAGCCTAACCATCCTAATAATAATACATATCCAAAATAATCAGTATAAAAAAAATTAAAAATTAAAAATTAAATTTCATCCATTAAAGAATATATATATTTTATAAAGATAATTTTGTCATCAGCGTCATATCATTCAATTCACGTGAAAATTAATACGGAGATGACCTTATTTGACGACATCCTCTTAACCATTGAGGTGGGCCTTCACCCATTTTGGATTGAAACCGTATGATTCTCTACAAGCTCTTTATGGAGCCTGAAAACGAGTTGCATTCCTTCGTTCATAACATACCTGATAAAAAATGTGAAGGCTTCTAATAATGTTATGTATACTCTTACATCATGTTCGGCTCAAATGATCATCCATCTTAAGTCCGTGAAGGTACCCTCCTTGATCTTTGTTTTTATGTACTAAAACAAGCCGAGATTAATAATACACTAGATTAATCTAACCATTAAGTGAAAAAAAAACACCCTTTTTCATTAGAGAAATTTGAACAAGTTTGTGCAACAAGTTGTCACATGTTATTGCTAAGATGATTGACATGGAGGAAATTTAGGCACTTTATAAGCAGCATTGCTTCTAGAGATGAGTCCTATTATTTTATTTGCTTTTAGCAACTAATATGTCAATAATTTTGTTTAATAAAAAAATATATTACAAAATATAACCAAAAAAATTAATTAAAACATTACAACTCATAAAAGGAAGACCCACTAATATATAACCTTTTTAACTATTTTTTTACCATATGGATATTGTATTATAAAAATAAAAAAAATAATAAAGAAAAAAAAATAGTCTTAATTAAATATTGAAGCTAGAAGAATTGGAAAAGAATAATTGACCCATTTTCCAAATATGGAGACTATTAAGATCGTATAATTTAACCCTTTTCCTTAAATATTTATTTAAATAATATTTTTGGAAAGAAAAAAAAAGAAAAAAAAGGGGATTTTAGTGGGCTTGTGGGACCGACCTCACAGTAGCTCTGCTGTATCCGAAAACAGCCAGCTATGGCTTCCAGCCTGTTTCATCTTCACATCCTCAATACTCCCTTATTATCTTCAATCCCCTTCTTCTCTCTTCCCATTCACTTCTCGCCGGAGAACTCTCTCTCTTCCCTCTAGCTTCTCCTCTTCTCCCGGCGTTCTCCGCCGGCACTGCCTAAATCGACTTCCTCATGGATCCCTGTCCTTTTCTTCGGGTTCTCGTCGGGAACTTAGCCCTGAAGTTTCCGATCGCCGCCAAACCATCTTTCTCCGGCGTGCATCCATCGAGTTCTCCGTGCTTTTGTAAAATTAAACTGAGCGATTTTCCGACGCAGTTCGCTACTGTTCCTCTCGTCGTCGACGGCGAAACTTCCGGCGTGAATAGTTCTTCTTCTGTACTCGCGGCCTGCTTCAGCCTCAATAAATCTCAGATTGAGAAGCTTGTTTCTAAGCGGAAAGATTTGTTAGTGAAGATTGAAGTCTACACCGGCCGCCTTGGTCCGGTTACTTGCGGCGGCGACCTCTTCGGAAGCTCCGCTAAGTTACTCGGCCGAATCGTTGTGCCGGTGACTGGTTCGAGTTTGTCAGAAACTAAACCGTGCGTGTTCCAGAACGGATGGACCGGAATCCGTGGAGGCAGAAAAGGTTACTCATCGGCTCAATTGCACTTGACGGTTCGCGCCGAGCAGGACCCGAGATTCGTGTTTCGGTTCGACGGTGAACCGGAGTGCAGTCCTCAGGTTTTTCAGGTGCAAGGAAGTGTACAGCAACCGGTTTTTACTTGCAAATTCGGTTTCAGAAACGAACGTGATTGGGATCGTTCAAGGTGCGTTCACGAATCTTTCGTGATCTTCTGTTTGTTTCCCGAGAAAATGCAAGAAACGTGCGAAGAAAATCGACGAACAGAGAGAGAAAATTAATTCGTTTGTTTTTCTGTTACTGAATCTCGATTCGCTAAATCTTAATTGCAGGTCGTCAATTACTGAGCAAAGTAGCACCTCGAGGAGTTGGTTACCGAAGATCGGATCCGAGAGGGACCAATCGGCGAAAGAACGAAAAGGATGGTCCATAACGATCCACGATCTGTCCGGATCGCCGGTCGCCGCCGCTTCCATGGTGACACCATTCGTACCGTCGCCAGGTTCGCACCGTGTAAGCCGTTCAAATCCCGGCGCCTGGCTAATTCTCCGCCCGGTCGACGGTAGCTGGCACCCGTGGGGCCGCCTCGAGGCATGGCGGGAGAGCGGCGGCTCAGATTCAATCGGCTACCGATTCGAGCTCCTCCCCGCGACCTCCGCCGCCGCTACGTTAGCGAACTCCACCATAAGCTCGAGCAGCGGCGGGAAGTTCACGATCGATAAGACCGGCAGCGCGTCGCCAGTGATCAGCCCTAACGGAAGCTTCGATCTCGGGTCTGGATCAGGATCTCGACCCGGATCCGGGGATTTCGGGTACTTGACGGCGTATCAGTACAAAGGATTTGTGATGTCGACGAAGGTGGAAGGGATGAAGAAGAAGAATAGGAGGGCAGAGGTGGAAGTGGCGGTTCAGCACGTGACATGCACGGAGGACGCCGCGGTGTTTGTGGCGTTGGCGGCGGCGGTGGACCTGAGTATGGACGCCTGCAGGCTGTTCTCTCAGAAGCTAAGGAAGGAGCTGAGGCAATGAAAAGGCTTATTGTCGTTTCGCTTGAATGAGCTTGTCGTTTTGGAATTTCAGACATTTTTGAATTTTTATATATTCATTTTATTTTTATTTTATTTTTCAATAGTTTGAGTTGTATTTTTTGTACGGAGGAAGAGATCAATAGATGCACGATTCTTATATTATATTATTTATTTATTTTTGTAATATTATAAAGCAAACCCATGAGAAGAATTGGAGGATTAAGAATCCTATGTTGGTGGTTGTACTATATGATATGCATAAAAATAATCCATAAATGTCATGTTCATATCAAGATAATATATATAATAATAATAGATATATAATATAGTTTCTAATCATAACTATCAAGTATTAAACTTTATATTATAACATATAATATAAAGTCTAATGCTTTAAAATATTAAATATTTGGAAAGGACCGAGAAACGTAATTACTATGTTGCAAGACGTTGTTTGATATGAAACCATGGATCCTAAGAAAGTTTTAAAAAGAAACGTGGTAACTGAGACTCGAACATATCCACACTGGCCCAGTTCATCCATCGTGTACGTTTCAATTTCCATTCAAAATTCTAAACCGTTTCTACGAGCCACCCACGTGCACATCCCTTCCTCCTATGGCTCATCTTCTGAGTATAAATTATCAAATTCTCAATTACAAGACAAACACTCAGCATAATCATGGGCTCTCCTCTATAATTCAAATCCTCATTCTGCTGCAGTCTCTTCACTATTGTCAATCTCGATGTCTGGAAGCGTATCTAGATCCACCCGTTCGGTTACATGGGAGTCGTTAGAATCAAAATGATCGTCTTGAACTGGGTCGTCAATGTGGTTTGTCGAGTTGGAGCTATCGTCGTTGGATTCGCCATCGTCTTCCGACTTGTCGTTATGAGTAGCTTCACTATTCTCCTCGGGTATCATGGTCGGTAAGACATTCTCCGGTTCGTTTGTTTTGTTGTCTTTCTTCGTTTCGGATGTCTCGTCGTCTGAAACAGTAAGATCTGGCTTACTCGTGATGTTTCGGGTTTCGCCTTCAACCTCATTTGGCTGAGATTCAGAAGTGCTGTTCTCCAAAACCTTGTCATTCATATCTGTGAGTATAGACTGAAGAGATGTTTCATTCTTATCACCCAAATTGTCTATGATTTCACTTTGAGTATGATTCAAATCAATTTCTGTTCCCTTCTGCTGAGAAGAATCTGCATTCTCTACATTACTTGTATCAGTAGTTGCAGAGGATGTATTATTGCTCAATTCAGGTTGATCATCGGATTGAGCGGTCGGGATTGAATCTTGAACTGAACCATCAGTAGGGAAGGACGTGTTTTCGCTGAGCTTCACATTACTGAAATTCTCGTTCGTTGAAGTTTCATTGTTAGCCACTTTATCTACTTCCTCGGTTAACCGTGAACGAATCGCTTCGGTTTCATTTGATTCACTGTTCTGTTCTTTGTTATTCAGCTCTGCGTTCTCACTTGAACTTTCTAAACTCACGTCGTCTGTCGAGGTGGTAGAGTGGTCGTCATGGGCCACGGCACTAGATGCATCGTCCCCCTTGTAGTTTTCCTCCCGTGCCTCATGAGTGATCGAATCACCATTGTCGTTCTCCTGCTCATCAGAAGAATTCTCATCTCCTCCTGCCTCCTCATCACCGTCTTCTTTCAATCTCTCACCGTCCGCATTCTCACCTTCATGATCGGATTCATTATCGGACTTCTCTCGATCATTCTCATTCATATCGTCATCGCCACCTCCTCTCCCATCATCATCCGTCTCCTCTTCATCTTCATGCTTGCTTCCTTCATCCTCCTCATTGACCGACTCGTTTTTCAGTTCTTCACGTGCCTCTTCTACCTCATGCTTCGAGTCTTCCTCCTCATCGACTGCCTCGTTTTTCAGTTCTTCACGTGCCTCTTCTACCTCATGCTTCGAGTCTTCCTCCTCATCGACTGCCTCGTTTTTCAGTTCTTCACGTGCCTCTTCTACCTCATGCTTCGAGTCTTCCTCCTCATCGACTGCCTCGTTTTTCAGTTCTTCACGTGCCTCTTCTACCTCATGCTTCGAGTCTTCCTCCTCATCGACTGCCTCGTTTTTCAGTTCTTCACGTGCCTCTTCTACCTCATGCTTCGAGTCTTCCTCCTCATCGACTGCCTCATTTTTCAGTTCTTCACGTGCCTCTTCTACCTCATGCTTCGAGTCTTCCTCCTCATCGACTGCCTCGTTTTTCAGTTCTTCACGTGCCTCTTCTACCTCATGCTTCGAGTCTTCCTCCTCATCGACTGCCTCGTTTTTCAGTTCTTCACGTGCCTCTTCTACCTCATGCTTCGAGTCTTCCTCCTCATCGACTGCCTCGTTTTTCAGTTCTTCACGTGCCTCTTCTACCTCATGCTTCGAGTCTTCCTCCTCATCGACTGCCTCGTTTTTCAGTTCTTCACGTGCCTCTTCTACCTCATGCTTCGAGTCTTCCTCCTCATCGACTGCCTCATTTTTCAGTTCTTCACGTCCCTCTTCTGCCTCATGCTTTGAGTCTTCCTCCTCATCGACTGCCTCGTTTTTCAGTTCTTCATGTCCCTCTTCAACCTCATGCTTTGAGTCTTCCTCCTCATCGTCCTCTTGCTTCGAGTCGGGATGAACTTCCTCAACATGTGGGTGAAGCTCTTTCCTTCCAAATTTCAAAACATCCCCTCCATCCCGAGTTCTTATCGTTATTTCATTATCTTTCTGGTCGAATCCTTTCTTCTTGTCATGGGAGCGCTTCACCTGATAAACTAACCAAAAGCAAACACCAACCAACAGAACAATCTGCAGAATATGCTTCACTTTGATGCCTTTCGACCTGCTGCTCCGACCCGGTAATTTCTTCAACATGATGAATTTCCCGAGTCGAAACCCTTATATTTTTACTTCTTTCTACAAAATAATCAAACATCAGAAGCCTAGAAACATTCGTCTTTGAACAATACTACACCAATAACAGAGGTGACAAAGAAAACAATGGAGTGTTGCTAATTACATATCCAAAGGAATCTGATTCTGATTTGGCCCCTGCAACTAAGCTCAACTGAAGTAAAAGATTATCAATTTTAACTTAAAGAAATAAAGCAGAAAAGGAACACCAATTTTATAGCAAAGTCGTTTTTCTTCCACGAAAAACGTCTCTTGCATCTCTTCAACTCCCCTTCGAAACGAGACACTCGACACATTTCAGACTCTTTTCTTCTTTTAGATTTCTCAATAATCAAAAGACGAGCAGAGTATCTATGAGATCCCACATCGGTTGGAGAGGGAAACGAAGCATTTCTTATAAGAGTGTGGAAACCTCTCCCTAGCAAACACGTTTTAAAATCGTGAGGTTGACGACAATACGTAACGGGCCAAAGCGGATGATATTTGTTAGCAGTAGGCTTGGGCTGTTACAAATGATATTAGAGCCAGACACCGGTGGTGTGCCAGTGAGGACGTTGGGCTCCCAAGGGGAGTGGATTGTGAAATCCCACGTCGGTTGGAGAGAAGAACAAAAAATTCCTTATAAAAGTGTGGAAACCTCTCCCTAGGAGACGCGCTTTAAAACCGTGAGGCTGACAACTATACGTAACGAACCAAAACGGACAATATTTGCTAGCGGTGGGCTTGAGTTGTGTCACAGTAGGCAACCAAGCTTCCTACACGCTTTATAGCTAAGCCATTGCAGTCAAAACTGCAATCTAACCATCCAAACTAAAGACATTACTTCACAACTGGAAAAGCAATTTTCGACCACCCCCGCCCCGCCCAGCCCCACCTCGCCCCGGCATCGAAGAAAACCAAAGCCTTGCTTGCTCTTGGGTGCAAGCCAACGCCAAGGCTACAGTGGCAAGAGGCAAGAAACTTGTTGGATATTTATACATCTAAGTAGGAAGACACAGAGTTTCAAAAGACATCTGAATTCACAACTTTACAGTTTTACAGATTTTAGAGGCTATCACAATCATGAGAGACTAACAATTACAATATGTAAAGTGCCTAATAAATCCTTACAACCACAATCCAATCTCTAAAGAAAACTTAACAATAACTCCTACATAAACCCTAACCGAAGGTGATAAGCAAAACACCAAAATCAGCCCCAAAATTCTTCCATCCACAAAGAAATGAAGCAAAATTTAAGAATCTGAAACGAAATCAGTTCCAAAAAGAATCGAAAACTCGAAGGCTAAATAGTTCAGTAGGAAATTTGACGAGAAGTAAAGCGTAAATAGTGAAGAACAGGGGGCTGAAGCCAGAAGTACCTGGAAGAAGATGAATCAGAGCTTGCAATAATGGCGAGGAAGATGCGTCAATCAGAGCATCTTCACCGTTTCAACCATGGCGGGAGTTGGAGTGACTACGAAAGTTCGTGTAGTGGGAGAGAGATCGGATCCAATACCAAGAAACTGCAATTTTCTTCCTAAAAAATTGAGGAAAAAGGATCAAATATTGTGAGGATGGAATTGCAATTTGCCTCACCTTCAAAAGCAAAACAACCGTGACCCATTACCCCATCCGCCATTAATTGGAGTTGTTGGCTGATCGAAGTAAGAAAAAAGATGCATGAAAATGGAAATGTTCTAAGTTTTATTATTATTTTGTTTTTTTGTGGTGTTTAACGAGAAGTAAGTATCCCATGTTCATGGATTTGTGTTCTTTCCCTGCATAGTAAGTAATTAAGATTTACATTATCTGTGAGACTAATCCCACCGTTAATAGATATTATATTTTTTAGACTTTTTCGTTTAAAAAGGGTTTCTCTCAAAGTTTTAAAACACATCCAGCAGCTGAAGTTTGCGAATAGTTGGCTCATCTCGGGACTCGTGCTCTATGAAGAAGGTGGTTGGCTGTATGGTTTGATTATTGTACATGAACCCAGAAATGTATTTAAATATTTGAGCCTTGGGCTTTGCAAATAATATCAGAGTCAGTCATGGTGTGGCAGTGAGGTCCCACGTCCATTGAAAAATGAAACGAAACATGGAGTGAAAACCTCGCACAAAGTAGATAGGTGAGATTGACGATGATACTTAATGAACTAAAAGTTGATGATGATACGTAACAGACTAAAGTAGACAATATCTACTAGGAGTGACATGATATGTTTGAATACTTGTTTTGAGTTAGCGTAGCTTGGACCGGGCAAATAACCTCCTCAAGCTCTATTGGGCTTATTGGGCTTATGGGACTTACTTAGTGGGCTAAGCCAATCGACCCACTTGGTTCCACTATTATCTAGCCGAGTTTCATTATTTGTCGAATTTATTTCTATTATATGAATGAATTATTAAATATTATTTGGTTGTTTAGAGAGGAAATATTATTTGCCTTACGTTTTGTTTTTAGTTAAAATCATTAAATCAAAGCTTGGTTTGGAAGATACTCAAACTATCCAACTCCTACACTAATTAATTACTCTTATTAAGCAATTAAATTACCATATACCTTTTCTTATTTATTTATTATTCTACTTATACCCGACCCATCAACAACCTTATCTGTAACGCTCATGTCTACTCATTACCCCTATCTTACATATGTCTCGTTTCCTCTTCAATGTACGCATTATATGATAACCTTCGCGTGGCCTAATGGGCGTCTCTTGATTGTCGCTGCTTTGCTTGACTTGACATGAGAGTCACAACCTACTCTCTTTATAATATGTTTACGACGTTCTCCCCCACTTAAATTAGTCATCGTACTTGATGACTATATATAATACTCGGGAGCTAACTTCAACCATGCAACCGAACAAACTATAAAATAAGAACAGAAAAACCGAAATACTCGTAATAACAAAGGGAGGGAAGGAATCAATTAAAAACTTTAGAAAAGAAGGGAAAAAAAAAGACAACACATCTTACAAGGATTCTAACAACCAGCATTTTTGTTTGCTTTTCTCTAAAGATATTCTTTCTTAACAAAAACTTCTTTTGTTAGGCTTCTCAATGTTTTGTGTTTTTTAACCATGTGGGCTTTACAAATGTTATATATACAAATAGCTTCTTCATCTTTTTGTATTAAGCAACCAAGGCATTGATCACTAGAGGAGAAAATAAAGCAATGTTTGAATGTGTTCAAACCATCATCTTTTTTGGAGTTTTCTTTGCTTATTTGCTTCAATTTTCTTCTGCTTCTGTTGTTTCAACTGGGGACTATAATAAGGATTTCTTTGTTACGTGGTCTCCTTCCCATGTGAACACTTCGGTCGATGGTCGAGCAAGAAACTTGAAGCTCGATAATTATTCAGGTAAGGGTGTTCGAGAAACTTAATGACTTGAAAATTTTGTTCAAACTTTCTTTTTTTTTCTTACCTCGTTCTCTATTGTTCTCTATTGTTATTGATCCTCCGAGTATACTGCTAGCAAATATTGTTCTCTTTGGATTTTCTCTTTTGGGTTTCGGGCTTCCCCTCAAAGCTTTAAAACGCGATGTTTCACCCCCCTTCGGGGCCCAACGTCCTTACTGGCACTTTGCCTCATGGTCTACCCACCTTCGAGGAACAGCCTGGCATATCGCCTTGTGTCTAGCCCCCTTCGGGGAACAGCCTTCTCGCTGGCACATCGTCCGGTGTTTGGCTCGGATAGCATTTGTAACGGCCCAAGCCCACCGCTAGCAGATATTGTTCTCATTAGACTTTCCCTTTTAGGTTTCAGGCTTCCCCTCAAGGCTTTAAAACGCGTCTGCGAAGGAAAGGTGGAAACACCCTTAACCCCATTCGGGGCTAGCGTCCTTACTGGCACATTGTTTCGTGTCTACCCTCCTTCAGGGAACAACCTCTTCGTTGGCACATCGCCTCGTGTCTACCCCCTTCAGTGACCAGCCTCCTCACTGGCACATCGTCCGGTGTCTGGCTCTGATATCATTTGTAATGGCCCAAGCCCACCGCTAGCAGATATTGTCTTCTTGGGACTTTTCCTCTCAGGCTTCCTCTCAAGGCTTTAAAATGCGTCTGCTAAAGAGAAGTTTCCACACCCTTACAAAGAGCGTTTCGTTCTCCTCCCCAATCAATGTGGGATTTTCACAGTTAGATATTAGGTTAAAATATCATTTGGGTCTCTACGCTCGAGATAAAACGAGTCCTTATCGTAATAGTTTAAGATGCTTTTGTGTGATTCATAGGAGCTGGTTTTGCATCGAATGAGATGTTCTTATTTGGTCAAATGGACATGAAGATCAAGCTAGTTCCAGGCCATTCTGCTGGCATAGTTGTGGCCTATTATGTAAGTGGTCTTGTTTTCATGTCTTTACATGATTTCTTTTTTTGATGTTTATGTGAAACATTATTTGATGAATTGTGTATATATACATAGCTGACGTCCGATCAACCGAACCACGACGAAATCGACTTCGAGTTCCTTGGCAATGTGGAAGGGCAGCCAATTATTCTTCAAACTAATGTCTTTGCTGATGGGTTTGATGATAGGGAAGAAAGGATTAACTTGTGGTTTGATCCAACAAAAGACTTCCATACATACTCAATTCTGTGGAACATTTACCAAATTGTGTAAGAAAATCACTCTTATCAACTCTTCTCGGTCTGCCTCTTAATTTTTTTCGCCTAAGTCCATTACTAGCCGTCTCTTTTTGGCTTCCCTTCAAGATTTTTAAAACGCGTCTGTTAGTGAGAAGTTTCCAATCCCTTATAAACAAATATTTCGTTCTCCTCCCGACCGACGTGGGGTCTCACAATCCACCCCTCCTTCAAGGTCTAACATCCTCATTGGCACTTATTCCCTTCTCCAATCGATGTGGGACCCCCGAATGCATTCCCCTTTGGGGTCAAGCGTCCTTGCTGGCATGCAACCTTGTGTCTACTCTCCTTCGGGGCTCAATCTCTTCGCTGGCACATTGTTTAGTATCCGGCTCTGATACCATTTGTAACAGCTTAAGCCCATCACTAATAGATATGTTTTATTTTGGCTTTTCCTTTCGAGTTTACCCTTAAGATTTTTAAAACCCATGCTTGGATAACATAATCGTTTCGCCATCGAGAAGAAACATACATAAATAAGACGATAGATTGAGTTTTTTTTTTCTTTTTTTTGACAGGTTCATGGTGGATTGGGTGCCAATCAGGGTATACAGAAACCATGCAGACAAGGGGGTGGGGTACCCAAGGTGGCAACCAATGAGCCTAAAAGTGAGCCTATGGGACGGTAGCAGCTGGGCAACAGGGGGTGGAAAGGACAAAATTGATTGGTCAAAAGGGCCTTTTATTGCTTCTTTTGGGGACTATAAGCTTGATGCTTGTACTTGGACTGGGAATGCAAGGTTTTGCAGAGAAATTTCAAGCAAAAATTGGTGGAATTTGCCCAAATACAGCACTTTATCATCTTCTCAAAGAAGGCTCTTCAAATGGGTCAGAAAGAACCATTTGGTTTATGATTATTGCCAAGACAATTCGAGGTTCCATGGCCAACTTCCTAAGGAATGTTCTCTTCCCAAATACTAAATCAACCAAACCCCATACCTTTCTTCGTTTTTGATTCCCTTTGTTCGTTTTTGTTATTTTCATATGGTAATATATATCTCTATCGATGCTTGATGTATAAATATACTTGTGTTTTTTGTTCGGATCGAGTTTTTTTATAGCTCAGGAAGCTAACAAATTTCTTATGAATGGACAAGATACTATACGTTAAACCATTTATTAAAATCTTAATGTTTAATATAGTTTCTTAATCTAGATGAAATGAGTCGAGATAGGAGGCAGGAAAGTACATTTTTTATTTAGTTATAAAAAAAACAGAGTTTGCATTTTTTTTATTTGAACTTCTCATGAAATCACAAATAATTGATACTCGTTTGATAAGTTTTTGGAAATAAACTACTGTGTTCAAAGAGCCTGCGGTTATGTTTTCACCATATGGGCCGCCTGAGTAAACCATGGCGCAGTCGTTCTTCCTTTGGTTGGCATAGGCAAGAGCGAGGGCAGCGAGGGTGTCATTCCATGTCACGGGGCCGACACCGACCTCCGTGCGAGCACGGTTGTGTAATGCAAGGTAGTCTTGGGGGGAGTTTTGAGCTTGGGTTTGGCTTAGGATTAAGAGCGTGGCAGTGGCTAAGAAGACGGTCATGAGAAGGTTTTGAGTCCACATTTTGATGAAGATTAGGGAGGGGAGGGAAGGGAATGGTTTGAAGTAAATGTCAACAAAATTATATTCTAAACTATATAGAACATGATTGTTTTATATAATTTAGAATATTTAAAACCTTATAACCAAAGTTGAGAATATAATTTGCTGAACAGGAAGAACGCTTCTCTTCAATCCTACCAAGCTTCAATAAATATGATCCAAGAGCACTTCTAACAGATCAAAAAAAGAATGAAATTTCAGAGTGTTAAGCAAAAATTATACTAACTTCTTATGTCGTATAGATGCTGTACGAACAAGTCATTCCACGTGTCGGTGAGTCCCGACAAGCACCAATGCATACAATCGTCGTGCTTCTTTCCACCAGCTGAGGCAGGATGTGCATCTGCTCTCAACTCACTCATGGATGTTATGTTCAAAATATG